CCTTCCACTGAGTAACAGAACCCGGATGTAGTTTTGACATTCCTCCTGCAAATAAATACACCACAGCCCAGATTTACTTACATGACAAGTGTGAACAGCTGTTTCAGCTGTGAGCAAAGGCTGTGTTTGACTCTGTATTAATGACCCAGTATTCTACCTCAGATTTGCCCTTGCTCTGACATGAACGCTTTGTGTCTTCATCAGGTGCCCATTCTGTTGCCTGAAAAAAAATGAAATATTTTGTTTTGAGAAATCTTGTTGGCTGTGAAATTTAAGGACATTTAAGGGAATACAGGAGACAAAATCAGATATAAAACAATACATTTTATTTCATTTAAAATATTAACCGAGTCTTCTAACTACTGCTTCTTTTTTAAATTTCTATTAATTTTAGTGGAGTAAATGAAGAAGAAGAAACCAGAGTTAAATAAAACATCTCCTCACAGTCTATAACAAGTACTTGATGCCGCAAACCTTACCTGTATGAGGGAGGCGTTGCTCAAACTCAATCTAAAGATGAAGTTTCTGAAAAAGAAATTCTCCATGTTGAAGGCAAAGCAGCAGAAGCACGCAGACTGCAGAGCGACTGATAGACTGGTTATGATTGGCATCTTCACCACTAACGTGTGAGTGATGTTCCTTCTTTTTTCAGGTTGTTTTTATAGTTTGTAGTGTTATCATGCCTGTAAATATGATGCTGTATGTCTCAGTTGTCCTGTATTTCCTCCCATTGCTCACCTGATTCATTCCTATAAACATTATTACATACATTCCCTGTACATTATAAGCGTAGTTACATGTTACCTTGCTCCCACAATGAGCTGGTTTCTGCTCAGGTCCAGGGCCATCTGGGAGAAATCCTTCACCCCTGGGTGGGAGAACTCTGAGATCCATGGCCTTAATGCTAGATGGAGAATGAGGCAGGGAGGAAAAGAGTTGATGTTTGGAGGAAAGGTTCAATAAAAGGAGGAGGGGAGAGAGGAGAAAAGACAGGGAGTGACAACAGGCAAAGCACATTATGAAAAGTGAACAAAGAAGAGGAGGAAAAGATTAATGAGAGGATAGACAAAAAGCAGGACAAGAGGAAGAAGAAAATGGGAGGAGCAGGATGAAGATGAAGAAGACAAGGAGCAAGTCAGAGGGATGAAAAGGGCGAGGAGGAAACGAGCACTTTAAGCTGAATGGACAATGACACATGATCAAAATAATATCACAAAGGCCCTTTGACAGTTGTTATACACCTCAAGATTTAATGAGGCCATGCTGCAGACACAACACTAACAACTGATTACATTTCTTATAAATCTTTATGTCTGTAAAAAATATAGTTCCAGAATGTTAACTACTGTTAAATATTAATATTTTTCATGTATCCTTGATGCACAAGAGAAACACAATGCTAGCAAACCCCCACTGATGCAGCTTGATGCCACCTGAAAGCTCTGAGCACTGCAGAACTTGTATTATCTCTGTATTAAAGCCAAGCCTCATGCGCTGTGATAGTTATTCTCTATTAACCTCATAAAATGTGAAGCAACATTTTTAAACATTATGAGCAAGGCACACAAAACAGGGTGTGCACACTCAAATCAGTGAGATGTTTCCTTCTGTTTAGATCAAACTGCTACACGGGCAGAAATAGGCTGACCTTTCAGCTATGATTTCTTTACTGTGCAAGATTATGAGCAAACACTGTGTCAACTTGGTTATTGGAAATAAAACAGAACCACTGCATTTGTCTGGCTTCAGCTTCACTTTGAACACTGAGACAAAAAAATCACTCCAGCAACAGTGATTTTCAGAGGAAGCCATTAAATTCAAATTGCTTTTGTGCACTTGCTTGTACATAATGACCCGTGGCAATGCAGACAAATACAGACAGTCCATGTATACACTCATATTCACGAACACCCTTCCCAGGAGAAGGCTGGTGTACCAGCAGAGTTGTCATATTGCCGACCCCCTCAGTTCACTGCAGGGAATTAGAAACTGAGAGAGAAAACTAAGCCATGAGTTGCTCAGCTGGTCAAAGCTTCAAACACCGAGGGAGTCAAGACATACAGCTTTCATACAGGAGATGTTTATATGGTGTTATGCTTCACTGTGATAGTTCACCTTTTTTAGTTCCTGTCTACATCAGAAGTGAGAAGACATTGTGTAGACTGAATCAGTGAAACCAGGTTGGAGGAGCAGGCTAGCACTAATTTGATTAGCAATAATTTAATTATATAACCAGCAGAGCTCTTGAATTTTTACATGACAAAGTCAGTAGAAGGTAAAGCCAAAAGTAACTTTGTGGTCAAGGTGGCCATTTTAATCACTGAAGGTTTTTGGCATCAAAAGTTAGCTGGACATTTTTCAACATTTTGACATTTTAGTTCTTTAGGAACCCGTGTGCCTCTCCCTGTGTGGATGATGGATGGATGGTGACAGTGAAGGAAAAGCAGACTGGCATTGCTGCACTCACCTTGGTAGGAGACAACAGGATGTTCCTTTCTGCTGCAGTCTGCAGGTTTGATGTGAGGCTGCTGGGACAAACACACAGATGAACAGATGACCAGGACAAGGCCACAGGGGGAGAGGGTCCATGCCCCCCGCCCTGACATAACCATAGTTACAACCACATCCAGTCTTTTATCAGGTCCTCAGGAAACACCTGTGGAAACACAAGTGATAATGATTGACATTAAATCAAACTCTAATGGCAGATTTTTCCCAAGAAAGCTTAAGAAGGAGAAAATGAGTCTCAGTTTCATAGCATATGTACAGCTTCCCTCGTCCTCTGCCTGCCCACCTGTCTATCCATCTAAATTAATTTTGCCAGTCCCTCTCAGTGTCCGGCCCTTCAGTGTCAGCAAGGCTTGGTCAAGGCTAATTCACCTCAAAAGGCCAGAGCCGCCAACCCTTCTCTCAGACTGAGGGTGCCATCAACACAGCTCTTTATGACTGAGGAGACCCATTCAGAGACGAGTGGGCCCAGAGCCAGAGAGGGAGTGTAAACTTTGAACTGTGAGCCACATGAAGGGTCTTTGTATCATCATCAAAATCTTACAATTACATCATGTACATCAAATCTGCTCAGAGATTATTATTTGACAATGACGACAACATACATAGGGGTGGTTCACATAGCCGGTGACAACTTCAGCTGGTAACATCCAGATGTTCGGGTCAAAAGAAAAACTACACCAACCCCAATAGATGTTGGTGGTTAAAGTCTGGCTGCTAACATTTGTAACAGGCTGGCCTCTCCAGGACACATCTGCAAAAAGCGTGCCCCCAAAAAAACATTTGTTACATGGTGACATTTTACATTCACATCGATAGAGAAAAGCTCTTGAAGCACCTTAAAGGTCTACTATGTGTGAATGTAAGGATAAAATACATTTTAAAAGGTGCAAGTGCTAAAATCTAAACTGTTTGCACATTAAACATCATAAGTTTAACCAGTATTGGTAGTTCAACTACCAGAGGAAAGATCTTAGAGAGTATTAAATGAGACTGATGCACACTTCTGATAATGAAATTGTTGAGGGATAGACTAAAAGGGCATAATCATCCAACATTTACTCAATTTTAAAACTGCATTTATTGAAAACTACTGAAGTTATTCTATGCTACAGTTTTGTTATTCTCTCCCAGTACCTCCCACTTCTTTAGCCCTAAAACAAGGCAGTCTCCCTGCAGCTGCTGAGTGCTCTGGAGAACAGAGGCAGTGAATGTCTGCCTGTCTACTGCTCACCAGGAGGACTGAGTGTGTATGGAGCAGAGGTTTTTCAACCTGCTGGGTCTAACATAGCTGCTTAATGAAGCGACAGGAACAGAGCCTCCACCGCTGGCCTCACTTTTGTTATATGGCCATGCTCCTCTCAAAGGCTGGCTAGTGAGAGGCCTAATGTTCTGGGATCTGTCTATTCAGTGCAACAAGGGGGAGCAGCAGCAGACGTCAGTCAGACTCTTAGGGGGCAGTAAGAAATGCACAGACGTGGATTCTCCCTCTGTGATCAGTCGTAGCTGAAGACTAATTTTAAATCCACATATCTATGACCCATGTGAAAAATGAGAGTTTTCACATCTATGTTTAGCCACATAAAACTTCAGAGAAAGATCGGGGGTGTGGTTAAAAGAAACCAGTGATGACTGTTAGTAGGAGAGGACATGCAAACAGCACTCTACACACAAACATGTCCACCCTGACCTTCCCTTTGAGAGGTTTTCTGTGCTTTAACACTATTACAGTGCTTCCACCTTTGCTTAAGCTAGTCTAGACAACTAGACTGCAGCTAATGCGCTGATTATTTTAAGCTATTCTAGTGTTAGGGCTCTAGTCAAGGGAACTGTCTGTTATTTGACTGGTTCAGTGCTTTGTTGACTAAACTACACCGATCAGCCATAACATTCTGACCACTGGCAGATGAAGTGTATAACACTGACTATCTGTTACAGTGGCCCCTGTCACTGTGTGGGGTATATTAGGCAGCAAGTCAACATTCAGTCCTCAAAGTTGATGTTGGAAGCAGGAAAAATGGGCAAGTGTAAGGATCTGAGTGACTTTGACAAGGGCCAGACTGTGATGGTGAGATGACTGGGTCAGATCATCTCCTACACTACAGGTCTTGGTGGGTGTTGTTGGTCTGAAGTGGTTAGTAGCTACCAACAGTGTCTAAGGAAGGACAAATGGTGAACTGGAGACAGGGTCATGGACGCCCACAGCTCACTGATGATGAGGTTGACCTACTGTAGATTAAACTTTTAACTTCCATTTGTACTTTTCAAAAGATTAAAATGTATTAAAATGTATTTGAATCTTTGTTAAAATGGTTGAAAATGAGAAACACTGTCCATTGGTCTCTATGAAGAGAAAGAGTCAGGGGCTGTAGTGGTGATATCACACCTAGAGTGGTGAGGCTGTTGGATTGGTCTAAACAATTCTCTATAACTCGTCCTCACGACCACGGTTTTCACTCCTTTTATATAAGTTTTTCACATCTGTGCTCTTCCTGACAGTAGAACTGGTAGTAAATGGATTCACAGAAGATGCACAGTGAGCTGCAGAGTGACATGAGGGCCAACCAACTGCCACATTGACTCCTATGTAAACAGTAGTAGGCAGGTGGTCATAATGTTATGGCTGATCGATGTATTTCAACAAATATTAGATGAACTGCAGCAAAGTTTTGTAGACATACTTGGCTCCCAGATAATGAATCCTAATGACTTCAAGTGCCACCAGAAGGGCAAATTTGAATATATCCAAATACCTACTAAACTAACCACATTCCCATCAGCCTCAGCTGTTGTGAAGTACTGATTAGTAAATGCTTCCATACTAACATGCTAAACTAAGATCATGAACATAGTAAACAGTTTACCTCCAATATCCATGAGGAATTTCATATAATTTTTTTTTTTTACCAAACTCCTGCTGATTAACTGACTAATCAGTTACTCAACTAAATACATGGGATACTATACAATCTAAGTTAGGAAGTGGTGTTTTCAGTGCTTCCAAATGTGGCTTGAGTGACAGGATGAGTCTTCAGTGAGTATTGTGTAATCAGCCAAAATACATTTTGCTGCCAAATGTGGACATGGTGTGAGACACATTTTAGATCTGGTAGGAAACCAGTGTTGACTAAAAGCAGCAAATATTCAAGCCTAGCAGTGTTTTCCTGGAGTCACGAGCATGTCAGAACATTCATTCATTCGTGCAGCTGCATGTGATGGAAAAACACTGTAAAGCCTCAAAGAGATTAGAAACACAAAGTCTCCGATTCATGTGACCTGTTGGGACTGTGGGAGGAAAACTACAGGAACACAGAGTAAACATGTGACCTCCTTACAGAGAGAAATGCTGAGATTTTAACCAGAGTCACCGTGCATAAAGTTTAAGTCATGTTTTGACTGTGTCAGCAAACCAAGCGATGGCAGGTGTATACTTTATCTTTAGCACCACGTACAGCTCTGCTTAGCTGGTGTGTTCACTTTGCCTGTGATTCCTCAGCGAGAGTCAAATCCCACTTAAACATCATGTGAAGACCTTCATCTTGCTCAGAGAAAACACAGCCTGCATTAATAAGATGTCAATGTGCCTGTTAAAAATTTATAGCACTGTCGGAGTCAAACAACAATGTGCGCTCCACCCTATACACGTTGATGTCATTTCTCTTCAGAAAAACTTCAGTGTCGAACAGTGCACTTGTTAAGCACTTATGAAATTAAAACTTGTTTTGAAATAATATTAAACTGCCACTATGAACTTTACATTTTTTCCTGTTTACTCTTTATTTTTAAAGTAAATACAGTGTTGTACTACAACAGCATTCTTACTAATTAGCTGACTTATCCACATTATTCCTCCGCCCACTAAACTTTGTGGAAATTATGGGGACCGACTTCTAGTTATGCTTTTCACTGAGATGAGAGAGGTGGAAGTATACCACATGTGTCTTTATTTTTAGAGATATGAGGGATAAAAAATGATTTAGGAAAAAAAATTATGCAAGGTTTAATGGGGCTACATATAAGGTGGATATAAAGATAAGGTACCTTACCTGTAAGGTAATTTTGTCGTGCCTGAGTCGTTGGTCTGACTAATCTAAACTACTCTCTAAGGGAAGAAATTCATGCAAAGGTGTCATTTAACAGAGCACAGAAAAGCTGCAGCCCTTCAAAACAGTGGTTTCCAACCTTTTTGACACCTTGTCTATTTCTCTACTCAGATGGTGGAGAGTGATTCTCCTACTGAGATTGTTGAGTGGGACTAAAGTTGTAAAATCCAATAACTCACAAGCAAGTGCAAAGATTAAACAAAAAGTCAAAGCTGAGGATTCTTTTGATTTTCCCAAGTATCTTAGCAGAAAGTTAGAAGAACTGGCTGCAGCCTCCAGAGTTTCAGCTTCAGAGCCGGTGCAAATGTTGTGACAAATTAACGATTGTTTGTGCAGAATAGCAGTAGTGTTACACACTGCAGAGGTTTTTCTTTCAGCAGGTTACCGGACTTCAGTGAATGGAAAATCTGTTTGTTCTTTTCGTCTACAAGCTTTAGAAGGTTAGTGAGCCACATTTCTTGAAGCTATTTGCAACATGTTTTTCAAAAATTCACAATTCAATTTTGCTTCCTTTTCAGTACTGCAGAACCAGGATGATTCAAGATAATATTTCTTTTATTGGCTCACAAAAACCACTCCTGCTACCACCTTAAAGAAATAGAATCTCAAGCTTTTAAACCATTGAAAATTAAAGTACCACTGACCTTGTGTATTTTCAGTGAGCCTCTTTTATTTATTTCAAGAACTTTCTATTCAGACACTCTTGGCTTTGTCTTCAGATAAACTGGAGCAGTCAGACATTTCCCTCTTTGCAGACACCAAAGGGATGGCCACCCATGGTGTGTGTCACTTAGATACCTTCAGGCTTATACATGAATAAGTGGATCTGATGGAGGAGTGAGTGAGGCGCGGACAGAAAGGGCAGCAGTACTGACACTGTGAGGTGCTATGTCTTATTTCTGCCAGGATAAGTCAAACCGCATTTCTTACGAAACAGCAAATAAAGGGAATTATGTCATGATTTGACTAGAAAAGATGCACAAAGACGTCAAAAGGCATAAACAGCACTTCCACCAGGAAGACACACACTACAAAATGAGCATGCTGAGATAGTGGGTGTACATGTTAAGTGAAACTCATTAAATTCCAAACAATTCCTTTACTGAGGTGAAATATGACAGGGAAATTAATTACAATTGATTATTTCTTCATTCAGAGGACTTGCAATTTGTTCCTCCATGGGATCGAACATAAAAGGACAGAGTCCAACCTCTGACCCTTGTATATTAGCCTCTTGTGTAAACCCTCTCCACCAGAGTACTTGGACGCCACTCAATATCATTAAAAGAAAGAGTGAATCCGCCACCGCCTTGTACCTAAAACCTGGGGTTCCAAACTCCAAATTCTGCCCTACATAAAAAAGGCTCATAAAACCACAGCTGCTACCGAAAGGAAATCCCTAAAAATCTCTCTCACTGAGCAAAAGTAGTAATATTAATTACCAGTGAAGTCAGTTCATGGGCATTTGTTAGCTGGAGCCAGTGGACACTGAGGGGACATCCAGAGTCTCTCCATCAAAATATTCAGAGAGGACCATTTCCGAGGCAGTGTTCTCAGCTCCTTCCTACTGGGGTGAATGGCCTCTCTGTGCAACCTGCCAACTATCTGCCAATGGCCGCTCTCTTTTACACGTGAATGGACTGAGTTTAGCCACAGTTAAAAAGACACACTAACGTGCCATGGCTGCGCCACAATGGCTGCTTGGGTAATTTGCCAAGTCTAATGATGCCGGTTTGGCCCCGGAGAGAGGAGGTAGAGAGCAGGAATCCTAAAGAGGCACACAGCTGCACTCCTCCCTCGCTCCCCATCTTCACTCACTCTTCTCTGTCTCCCTTTGTTCTCCTGTCATGAATTCCATTTCTTTGCTATCTAGGATAAATGACATTAACTACAGTGTACTGTATAAACACATTCTGCATTCTCAGTACTGCTACCCCAGTCTGTCTGTGAACATGAAGGAAAATGACCCATGACCCATGAATATCAATAGAAAATGGAAGCTGAACGATGCAAAAGCAGCAGCACCTACAGAACAGAAAGCCAGCAGCCTCAGCTAACTTACTGTCAGTCTGCTAGTTTCAGCTAATAGGCATGTTGCACTTAGCAATAGTTTCACATGAATTATGGCTTCAGAAAGTCACACTCCATCACTTGTTGTACACTTTGTGTTGAAGAATTTATCTGATGTAGATAAGTCTCTACAAACTTTGCACAGCTGGATTTATCCCACTCTTCCTGATCAGAGCATCTCAAGCTCCATCAGATTGGATGGGAAGCATCTGGGCTTTGGATGGGCCACTCAAGGACAGTCAGAGAGTTGTCCTGAAGCTGCTCCAGTGTTGTCTTGGCTGTATACTCAAGGTCACTGTAGCCTCAGTCTCAGGCCACTGCACTATGGTGCAGGTTTTCTTCAAGGACCTCTCTGTATTCAGCTGCTGATAAGCCCCTTCACCGATGATGATGATGATGCTTCCCCAAGTACTAGTTCTCTTTTTACCCCTCCTTCCTTTAAATCTTTTAAGTACCATTTGGCAGCATCCATGCAGCTGTCATTGCCTTTTACTCCTAGTGTCTTCTGTCCAGACGCTCTACCATAAAGATGTGACTGATGAAGAGCCGGTGAGATGGCCATCCTTCCAGCAGGTTCTCCATGTCTGCAGAGGACTTCTGATGCCTTGTCAGAGGCACCGGCAGGTTTTTAGTCTCCTTCCTGACCAAGGCGCCTCTTTCCTGGTTACTCAGTTTGGTCAAACAGCTGACTCAAGGCAGAGTCCTGGTGATTCCAGACTTCTTCCATTTCACGGTGATTGAAACCACTGTGCTCCTGGGAAAACTCTGAGCTTTGGAAATGGTTTTGTGCGTCATTACAGTATCACAGAGGTCTGCAGAGAGTTTCTTGGACTTGATGGCTTGGTTTGTGTCCTGACATGGAGTGTGAACTGTGGGGCCTTGTAGCCACAGCTGTGTGCCTTTGTAAACTATGTCCAGTTAGTTCAGTTTGCCACAGCCTGAACTCCAGACACATCTAAAATAAAAGTAAATCTAACAGGATACAGCTGACCTCAATTTGATAACATTTTTAAAAACATTTTCACTTTATCATTATGGATTAAGTGTAGACAGATGGGCAAAAAAGGCTGTTTTATCCATTTACAATAACATCTACAACACAATCAATGATGATGTCTGAATATTTTCTGAAATGTTTGCAGTTCTTACTGTACAAACAGTATCAGGCCAAAAGGCAAAGAGCCTCTGTGAACACAGACGGAGGTTAGGATCTCTAAAAGCACTACAGTGTCATCTGACCACCTGTTATCATGTGAACAAGTGTGCCTTGCTAAAAAGCTTCAAGATTAGTATTAATAGTAGAAGGTATTCAAGCTATTATGTTTAAGCGCATCTAATTTTAATGGTTAATTGCAGAATAAAACATATACATCAGTTTGTTTTCTACTTAGGAGCCCAAGAACCCCTAACATTTATTCTTAAATTTATCTTTCAGCTAGGACCATCTCTGACTTTGAATCTGTTGGGTGACTAACGACTTAATATTTCAAGGACCTACTATATCTAATTTATGCTGCTCTTACAGACTAAAGCATATTTGCTACAATCACTGTGATGCCACTGATGTGACAGTTATTTTTCAGTAATGCCCACTAACTCATTACATAAAGATTACCATAAAAAAACTAATCAACTAATGCTTTGTAAGTCAACCAAGATCCTATTGGTCATGCAGTCGCATTTGAGGTGTGCCACCCCTGTTGCCTGCAATTACCATGGGGGGAAAGGAGCGGATAATTGCAACTGTTACATACAAATTGTCTGGTAGTGGCTGCTTCTAGTCAAAATATTCATCAGTATTCCAAATACATGCTTTATAGAAAAAGGGGCAAAAGAGAATTTTAAACATTGCCTGTGGTTACAATCAGTGTGGCTCTTGCCTGACAAAAGGCCAATTGCTCATGTATTAAATCTTCAGGCTAAAAAAATAACACACCTTCAGACATAATGTTAGAATCCAGACTGAGGCTGATAATCCAAGGAAGGCAGTGTTTTCCTCTCTATCCCTGCTTTCCTACACCATCACCATGCCAATTTCAACACTCATGCCTCAGACAGAACAAAGGAAACATCCACCACACATTACCTGAATCCCCCCGAGTCTAAACATGTGTCTGTTCACGCTACATGTAGTCTCTAAAGTCTAAAACAGAGTGATATACACTGAAGATGGGAGTAAAATGAGGTGGGATAGGGAAGAGGGAGAGGTGAAAGGGTCATATTATAGATCACTAAAGGAGAAATTAGCCTGTAAAGAGGAAACAGACAGACAAACTGACAGGCATGCAGGCACAAAAAAGTCGGCAAGCTAGACACAAAGACAGAAAGGACAACACAAAAGAATAAGTAATTGCACTGAAACAGTAAACGTTCTCATCGGATACATGCATGCATGCACACAGACTCACACAGGAAATAAACTTACTTGCTGACCATCACCAACTGCTTCGAACGAGTGACACAGATCCAGATGCTTCACATGGTTGGGAGAAAGAAAGAGGCATGAGAAACAAGAGGGAGAGAACTTGTTACACATCGACACACAGTGGCACGCTGACCAGAGTGTGTGCAGGAAGGTGGGGAGTAAAGGGGTGTGTGTGGTGGGGAAGGCGGGGGGAGCAAAGCATTCCTGTTTGTGCAGAGCAAACTGTTAACTCTGAATAGAGAGGGGGTGTCTGCATGTCTGCCCTGTGTTTGTGTGTTGTTATGCTTGCAAGACTCATTTTCAGATTTGGCTAAAAATTAGAATAGATTAAGGTTTTAATCAGATCAGTCACTAAAGTCTGATATGATTTTGTCTTTGTCTTTAGTCTTACAGGCTCAGTATTGTGGTGTTTTTGCACTGCATTTGCCACAGATCAACTCACAGCAGGTTTATACTTGACCCTATATATTATACCCCTTTGACACTAATGCAAAACAGTCAAAATAGTGCAAAACAGTCAGACAGTGGTTGACTGATGAGAACAGTATGGACAAATAAAAGCTAATCTAAATATCTAGCGCTAATCAAGATTAAAATGCACACAGTTGCTGAGCTGACTTCTACAATCTAACAATTGTGTGGATACAAAATGAGGCTGGGTGTAGTCAAACACAGCTGTACTATCATCAACGTGCAAATGAATCAGGGGCAGACACCAATAGCTCAGACAAACATTTCGTTTGCCTAAACAAAGAAATCCAGTCTGGCCTCCAGAGTAGGCACCAGCGACACAGAGTGCGAGTACATGGGAGAAATAAAATACTGAAAGCAGCTGGTACATGACAGAAGTGAAGGAAACACCACCTTTTCAACAACAAAAAAACATGATCATGCTAAACTGTAATATGATCCGGTAGTATCTTTATGAATTACATCAGATGTTTCAGGTGAGTCCATCCTCTGCCTTGCATGTGCTAAGTTCATTACCTTTGGTCCTAGAGGCCCATTCAAATCCCACTGCACAATTTAACATTCTTTTCCTCATTCCTCAAAGGTTTTTGGTTTGTGATAAGTTATCAAAGTTATCAAAGCCACAGTATGTGTTACCACGGTTTCTGCAAAGGTTTTCTGTCTCTCCTGTCCACACTCATTTTTCTCATCTGAAAACTGAGCTTTTTGAAAATAGGAAGGAAATCTGATAATGATGATTTTTCAGTGTGTATATGAGGTCTGCCTGGTCAGGGGATATGGGTCAGTGAAAGTAAGAGGCTGGGGATCTTTTCAAAAATGACCTGAAATGCAGCATTTTTAAACTTAGCTTCATAACATGCATCAAACCAGTTGCTCTCTGTGTCAACAAGCAGGAAATATGACAGGTCTTTGTAGTGCTGACAGAGACACCAGTCAGATATGGCTGTGGAGGTGGCTGCCAATCTAAGCAGGCAAAAGGGTGAGCTCCCATTTAGAAAATAATGGTGTCAATAAATCATATTCACTGAAAAATGACAAGCCCCTTTAGATTCCTGTACGTCCAGCAGAGCACTCAAAAACAAACAGCACTTCCATGTCTCATCCCTCAACCTTTAGAGAGCAGGATATTCATCTCTCTCAGGCCCAGCCTCACCACAGCGGAGAACCAAACCCCTCGGAGAGAATGAATGGCTCATTCCTGTGCAAACTTCAAGATGACCTCCTCTGGCTCGGTTTTTACAGGCCTCCTGTCAATGCTGCAGCTGAAAGATTGTACTTACAGTGAGACGCGGGGGAGAGCTGATCACAGGCCAAAGCAGGAGTGATGAACGATGGCCAGCTCTGAATATGACAGAGGATAGTGGACGTCAGGGGGGCTAAAAGAAGCCCAATAAACTGTCAACTAAAATGAGTGAATACAACAGAAACGTCTCTATGACCTTGTATTATTCTGAAGACATATCAGTACTGGTTTAGTCACTGTCCATCTCTGAGCTGTTTTGTTACATCTGCATTGATATTCTGTGTTATGTAAGAATCATTTCACTATCAAAATAATATAATTTCTAAATCGGATTAGAAAAGGCAGAGTAATAGATTATCATGAGCTGGACTGAAAAACATTGCTGGTAAATGTAATCAAGGCAGGAATTACACTTCCCCCAAAGCAAATGTATAGCATAGGGTTGTACTGCTAGTCCTGGTCCTACTGTATATGTTTATTATGAATTTTAAAAAGAATCAGTGAATCTCCAGTGATCTCCATGAATCCACGACCAGCTGCAAACAAGACCTGCAGTGGCTAACCATCAACTCTCAAATCCCAAAAATCAATGGACGCCTTGTGCAGCACACAGCGAGCCCCTGTGAAACCGGCCTGTGTGTCACAGAAAAATATTGACTTTTAATACTTCAAACATTAAGCTTGCTCCCGTTTAAATAAGCCTGGCTGTGTTGATTTTTGAAAGCCCTGCAGTCACTGAGGTTTACCTTTCTACTGGAGCAATAAAGCTGTGCTTATAGGATTCATACAAGTAGAGACAGCATGAAGCTGGAGTTCAGAGGTTAGAGAAGCAGCCCAGTGAGGGCACTTATGGTGAATCATGAGCCTTGAGGTTAAACCAAGATACTGGTAAAAATCCAAAGGACAGATGTTATGAGAAATATGCTAAATATGGGATATCAAATTCACTTAGGATGTGTTTAGCTTAGCTTAGCATGAACCGTTGGAGCAGGAGGAAGCTGCTAGATGTCAAAATGAAAAGTTCTGACAGCTCCAAACATGTCTTCTATAAACTTCATAGCTTGTTTATTTAGAAGCAGTTAGTCTTTGACCAAGGGTTAGCATCTCATATAGCATCTCAAAACTCTACAAAAACTGTCTAAACTTGTGGTTGAGAAGTTGGCGTCTTAAATCCCTGAACTAGCTGAGAAGACTAGTACATAAAGTTAATGCTGTCACCAAAGACGCACTTGCCAATGTTGGGAGACTGTGGCTTTCCATTGGGTTGTCTACTAACAGCTTTCCCTAAATATAAGTATAATGGAGAAATCCTTAACACCCCACTGCCTGTCCATCAGCCGCCTCAGCACCAAACTTTCTCTTTCTCTCCTCATCCATCTTTCTGTCCTTTTCCACTCCAGCCTGACCTCATGTGAAACTGTGGAGGTCTGTGGGTAACACATTCAGGCATCCAGTTTAATGAGTTAATGCCACTTCCATCTAGTGGGTTATATATTAGCAACAATAAGCCTGTCAGTGTAGTGCTCTTGCACTGACTGTCAGTATAGCGCAAGACCCTTAGCAGCTCAGTTTTCATTCTGCCCTAGAAGAGAAGCTGTCAAAAAGCACATCCTCTATGCCGGGTCGAATTTCCCAAAACATCTTAACAAATACTGGAAAGCTTTTTAAATTGTGTATATTTTTTCACTCTAGTACCAGAGTCGCAACAATGCCCAGCTATTACCTACAGATTATTTCCTCAAACTCATACAAGACCAACAAGGCTTTGGCTATTGCCACACTTGTGGACAGCACAACACTGGTTACAACTGGCCACAGTGACTTTAGAAAAATAGGCCACGTAAAAGGCATTGCACATCAGCCAAGTATGAATATAATTCAGCCAAACTGTTTTGTTTAACAGGTTGAAACATACAGTGTCAGACATTCCTGTTCATTTTTCATATTTGAGTGAGTCCTGTGGTCTGATATACCTGCAACATTGGGTTTAAAGTGGAATGTAGTTTTTAGCTGTTTTTCTTTTTAGAAAAGAAGCAGGTCTACAAAAGAAAAAAAACACCAGCGACATAACCTTACTTTATCAGACTGCCAACTTTAAGAATCTGTTTCGACCTTTACATTTTACTCATATACAGTGCACTAGCCCATATAAACCACTGCTCAGTGTTATGCCAAAAAATAGCAAAGTGGACCCTAACAAAAGGCTTCCTAAGTGTTTTAAGTTAAAATTTGTTTTCCAGAAAGCTTGACAACAATAAAACCTTTATTCTTTCAACATCAGGACAAGACAATTATAATATGCGTGCTAAATGTCTTTCAGTAGCTCACTTATGAAAAACAATTAACTCTGCTAAATGAATGTCAAGCTTACTTTTCACTTTTGACTCATCATGAGATTCGCTACTGAGTCACACCATCTGGTTTTTAGAGACAGAGATGGTGCAGACTCGCGTCAGCCTGCTGTCCTCAGGTCTGGACTGCTGCAGCCCTGTGAATGGCAGCAAGTTAAGGGTTCACCTCAGACCAAGAGGGATGCTGTCAGGACACAAAACTGACCATATAAACTCTGCAAAGGTAAAAAGCTCTCATAACGGGGAACTGTCTCTCTATGCCTGACAAGTGGCAGCCATAATATAAATGACTGTCTAGGATTTTACGTTTGGAAATTTTTCTGTACCCCCTTTAAATGACATAGTCTGGTCTGGAGGGTTACAGGGGTCACATGTACACCAAACCAGTCTGCTGGCATATGTTTCCTGTTTTTATAGTCTATGTCTGAAAACAAATCTACAGTCTGTCACTGCTATATTACTGTTAAAAATATCCTGAGATACATTAGAAGATAATTCCTAAGTAGCCAGTAACTGTTTGTATTTTTCCACCACTCTTTTAACTGTTTGCATACATACTGCAATTAAGTTTTGTCTATTTTTTTCTGTGTTCATTTCTCCATTCAATGCCAAATGCCTAGTTTTCCCAGAAGGATGAAACCTTACCATTGGCTTTGCTGCCATCTACTGGCAAATTATCAAAGATATTTATTGTACTGTATGTGCAGGACATACAGAAAATCGAAATACCATTTCTCTCTCCCTAGTATTGAATGCCATACCATTTAGGAAACTAAAATAGAATAAACGTAGAGTAAAAATAGACTAAAAAGAATAAGAAAACTAAGTCAAAGTGATTAGGATAAAACTAAACGGTACAACCTAATAGGCTATGACTCAAACCATGTACAATCAGTGACAGTAGTGCAAATAATAACCTATTAACCTAACCTATTATCCTCTATGTTGTGCTGAAAACAAAACTTTAATCTTATTAAACATATAAGTCCACTATGCATATCTTCTCTTACTTTTACAGCCCAAGATTTGATTTATTTATATAGCCTAAGGTCTGAATTGATTTTAGTAGTCAAATCAAAGCTCTGCTTACATAAAAGTGACCTTCAAAGGGTTGGTAGTAAAACTGTTTCTTCCATAGAGAAAACGGATACTTTATTATACATTATATTACTTATGTTAAATTCAAATTATTAATGTATATTTTACTGGTTAGAGGGGCGTCGTGCTTTAATATGACAGTCTCCTATTTTTAAATTGGATTTTTTTTTTTTTACGTAGCTAAAGTTAGTTAAAATCTCGCCTAAAAGTAACTAATATTATATATATCAAACAAATGTAGCACTGTAAAAGGTTCCGTATTTACCTCAATTTTGTAGTGAAGCAGAAGTCTAAAGTAACATAAAATGAAAAATGGGAAGTGGAAAAGTGGCTCAACATTGTACTTAATCACATTATTTGAGTAAATGTACTTAAAAATGTACCCATGATAATACATAACTGCAGTTGCTAGTTGCTACTAGTATTGATGCAGACTTCCCGCGCTTTATTAATTCGCTATTAGCCAATAGAGACAACGTAACTAGTGTCCTGTGCTGATTGTATCCAATAAGGATTGATAATCAGTGTGAGCCAATGGCGTGCGTTTGCTGCTGGGCTGTGGTCCAATGGACTGTAAGTGGAGGTCATAAAATACGCCAATGGGACATTGTGTGACCGAAGCAGTGTTTGCCGGGTTTATTTCGGCACTTCTCCACCCGGCTGTTCTTTTGGATCTTACTGCAATGGCGGAACAGCAGCAGTTTTACCTCTTGCTGGGCAACTTGATGAGCCCTGACAACAATGTCAGGAAACAGTCAGAGGTAAGGGATGAAATCGCAACTGTTTTCTTGGCTGACAGGCAGTTGTAGAGAACGGTGGGTCAGGTTAGCGAAAGCTAAACGCCCATTAGCTAACCATCCTGGCCGCGAGCAGTGAGCTTACGCGTCAAGCTCGGTAGCCCACGTGCAATTTGAAGCCGACACTAAGTACTAGTCGGCTAACGCTAACTACCTCCACCATGTTGCGTAGTTATGTGGACGTAACACAGATTGTACAGATCTGAACGCAGTTGCGTTATTCTGTGGTCGTGTATGTCTGTATGACGCTCCGTCGTTTTGATTGACAGCGAAATATGACGTTTTTGGGTAGCAATCCAATTTCTCTAGCTGCCAGTGTTGCTATTGGTGTACAGGAAGTAGCATGAGGCTAAGTATTGCTAGTTTCATTAGCTAGCAAGCTAGCGGGGGATATAGTGCGCTACTACAAATTTAAAAACGGGAATTCCGAAATTAAATATGGACATTCACGCTACGTCATAGATCCAATGATGTACGACTGAACAACAATGGTATACAATACAGACGGACATAGCAGGCATTTCATTCAGCAATTGAGCTAGCAGTAACGTACTTATGCAGTGGCCTTCAGTCATTATATCTGAAAGTCATTTCAACAAAGCGTTTTAAAACGTGGGGTTTCTTTACTCGTTTGGTTCAGTGTTATTCGTGGAGTAAACGAGCTCAGTTTCTTTCAGGTCATCCTTATGACTGGGTTAGTAGTTCTGGAGGATTTGTTTGGTTGAGTCTAGTTGTCCCCCCACCCCACGATTAGCCTCTTGTCGCCTCCAGTTTCCCCGCTTTTGGATGAGGTGGTTTGAATCTTACCACACTAGCAGTCAGCGTTTTAATAAATCAGACTGTCTGCTGCGATGCTAAGCTCACTAGGATCCAGCCTTTATTGAAGCGCTGTCTTTCTCTTACACGCACATAATAGGAACTGATCCGTCTATTTAGAGCCGACCCCATAGTTTAACAGCCTATGATTAGTTATGGAAAATTGGTTGCTCTTCAGACCCCACCTTACCCAATTCAAGACTTGATGCAGGTACTGTTGCCACAGTGACACTCCTCCTTGGCTTGTTTGTTCTTTCTTTTTTTTGTCATGCTCATAAGTTCACAGAATCACTCAAGAACCATCCAGTGGGTTATTTATACATGGTTCTCCAGCATTGTTGTCTGGGGTTCTCTGTCCTTCCACCTGAAACAAAATCAAAATGTTTGTTTAGTGCAGCTTGCATCAGTGATATTTCCTTGGAGCACACACACCCAAGCTTCCACTGGATCCCCAAGAGCTGTGTGGGTTTGCATTTCTCATGTGGCTTGAATGAAGCAGCTTAAGAGCAGCTGAGACAAAACAAAAAGGCAGCAAACGATGTACATCTGAACAAGCTGCCTTGTTTGTTTAATTCCCCCCTCAGTGAGACACTGGTCACTTAATGTGAAAATTGGTTGTCACTGTTGTGTGCACCATGTCAAGTAACTCTGTTCCTAAGTACTTGTGCCCAGTTTATTCCTTAAACAGTTTTTCATTACAGGCTGGCAATGCTTTTACACAGAGTAATAAACATCTAGTTAAAGTAAATCAGGTTTTTCAAAAGCCATACTTCTTATTATTCCTTCACTCATAAAAACGGATGAAATTATGAACAGTCTTCGTCCATTTTGTTTGAGCATTGTCTAGTTTGAAAAGAGCCATAGCGTCATGACTTTCACTGTTAAAGATTAATTTTTCATGGGGCTAAAATCCTGCATCTGCAGGCACACACCAAATGGTATGTCTCATCCTTACCACTGTCCTTTTTTTTTTTTTGCAGGAGACCTATGACACTATCCCAGGCCAGAACAAGATCACATTCTTGCTACATGCTGTCAGAGATTCATCTGCTGCAGAGGAGGTTTGTTGATGGGCTTTTTTCCAAGATGTTGCATGTATTGTGCTTTTGGCCTGGATTGGACTTTTTAAGTTTGTTTGTGGTTAGTTTATCCCTTGGTTTCCCAGACACAGATATCGTTATGCCAGGAAGCAAAAACGTTTTAATCTGAGGTGATGTTAAATTATGTCCACAATCATGCCTGCATTAGTGCAGTATTTCCACTTTGAAAGGGTCCCACATTGATGGCATTTTACGAATGTACTCTGGTGCTCACATGTGGGCCTTCACCACAGACTGACGAAACTTGTTTTGATTTCGTTTTGGCATTTGAGTAGTTGTGTTTACTCTAAGTCCACCAGCTGCTCAGTCCTTCGTGCTTCCTCTGCGTTTCTTTACCTCTAGCCTGATATTTTTAGAGTATTGAAATGGGAGCAGACAGTGACTCTGCCTTTCTGAGATGTTGCCGGTCTTGTCTATTTTTTTTATGACCACTGACTCTTATTAAAAACATCAATTAATCTCCCACATTTACTCTGACAGCTGCAGATATGTTGTCTCGTGACACTTATTTTGTCAACTGTCTAAATAAATCTACAAGAAAGTTGTAGTATAAACTGAATTAAAGTTATTTTAACAAAACTTTAAAAAAAAAAAAAAAGGCCTTTTGCCTGATCAAACCAGAAATGAACAGTTTTCTGTCAGAGGCCTGATGTTTTGGTAAAAAGTCCGACAGTGTTTTATTTCTTCAGGTCAAACAGATGGCAGCAGTGCTGCTGCGGCGGCTACTGTCGTCCTCGTTCGAGGAGATCTACCCGGGCCTGACCCTGGAGATGCAGACAGCCATCAAGACAGAGCTGCTGACCAGCATCTCGCAAGAAACTTTGCCAAACATCCGCAAGAAAGTGTGCGATATTGCTGCTGAGCTGTCCCGCAATCTCATCGGTAACATCCTCACAGATTTTCACAACCTCTTGAAAGCCATTTCCTGACAGATTATTTTTTGATTATTTTTACATTCCACTTTTAGATATATTGGAGGGTTAAAAATTGTTATTCTGGCAGCAATTTAATGATAAAAATGTTGTCAAGATGAATATTAATGTGCATGTTGTCTTTAATCAATGTACTTGGCACACCACTATTTTTTATGTCTATCCTTCTATTCTTGCACTTTTTTTTTCATGTTCTTTATGCTTTTTAGTATTTTAGGCACATTTTTGTTTATTTTGATTTGCTGTGGTTTTGGTAACTGTTGCTGCTAGATACTGAATTTCCCTCAGGATCAATAAGGTATCTATATCTCCTATCTAGATGATGAAGGGAATAACCAGTGGCCAGAGGTACTCAAGTTTCTATTTGACTCTGTCAACTCCGACAGTGTTGGCCTGCGAGAAGCTGCCCTGCACATATTCTGGTGAGCCCCTCATCACTTATTTTTATTTAGGCTACATAGATAAATGACCACTGAGGCCATAGTACTCGTATTAAGGCAGCAGTAACAGTGGCTGACTGTTGTGGTCTTGGCCTTGTTCCAGGAACTTTCCAGGAATCTTTGGTAACCAGCAGCAGCATTATATGGAAGTAATCAAACGCATGCTGGTTCAGTGCATGCAGGACCAGGCAAACCCGCAGGTAAGATCATGGAGCAGTTGATTTTTGCCAGTGGACTGCCTGATATGTGTACCAGTACATTTCTAAATATTTTCTGAATGATCCTTCAGATTCGCACCCTGGCAGCTCGGGCTGCAACCTCCTTTGTTCTGTCCAATGAAAGCAACATAGCACTACTGAAACACTTTGCTGACCTGCTGCCGGGAATCCTGCAGGTAAGATACAGGACCTTTCTCATGTGAACTGGCTCTGAACATGAAGTCGTACTGTATAGTGTCCTCTACATTAGTTTTGGATTCTGAGTATTCCTGCAAGTGTTCAGTAAAGGTAATGAGACACAATTATTGGGCTATATATTAGCTGCTGCTAGCTTAGATCATACAGTAATGTCTCCAGATGAACTTCACTTCCTCTTATACAGCTGTTTTTGTATGGGCCTAGTTTCTCCTCATAATGTGTTTTTATGTGGAAAGTAAAAAAAAAAAAAGCTTCAAAGTAAGAGCAGCTGCATTTACTTGCATCTCATTTGCCTTTACTGAGAGGTGTACACCTCTCAGTAAAGGCAAATGAGATGTTGTCGGTCTCTGTCAAGATGACACTGAAGAAACTAAATGCACAGGAACAGCTAACAGAAGAACTGACAACAGGACCGTTTGCTTCTCCACCCAGTAGTGATTATTATCCAGTGTAACTTGTTTCTTGCCACATCAATAAGGCTTCTCTCTAGACTGAAGAATTCAGGTTGTCCAGTTGTCATTTCACAATAGCTGTACATGTTTCAGAATCCTCACAAATTTCTAAGCATTTCTCTCAGTGACTTGTGATAATAGAGGTGGTTTGTTGCAGTGCTGTGCAAGTTCAGCATTAGCAGCATGCCACTGCTGCATGAATGCAGTTGCAACACTAACCTCAGCTTCTGCTGCTGTTGGTCAGGCAGTGAACGAGTCCTGTTACCAGGGTGATGACTCCGTGCTCAAGTCTTTAGTGGAAATTGCAGACACAGCCCCCAAGTACCTAAGACCCAACCTGGAGGCAACTCTGCAGCTCTGTCTGAAGGTGAGTCAGACGAATGTACAACTTCACTGCTCATGATATTAAGTACATAAAGTTTGATGACATAACATCTGCACGGCAGTGTTGTGTTTAGCCCATGGCATCTTGCATCAGATGAGATTTTCCTGTTTAACCTTTAACTCTTGTCAGCTCTGTTTGAGACTTTGGACCAACATGTTGCCATGTCTCCTCAGCTGTGTGCAGACTCCAACCTGACTAATATGCAGAGGCAGTTGGCGTTGGAGGTCATTGTCACATTATCTGAGACGGCAGCAGCCATGCTGAGAAGACACACAGCCATTGTGGCTCAGAGTGGTAAGTCAGGACTTGGTTTTCTGACTAACTTGCTTGTTTTTTGGGGGGGGGGTAGACTATATTCAGTTGCATTCTTTATATGTGCTCAGTGCCCCAGATGCTGGCTATGATGGTGGATCTTGAGGATGACGATGAGTGGGCCATGGCTGATGAGTTGGAGGACGATGACTTTGACAGGTAAGGCCTGGTTTATAGTCAAGACACAAATCTACAGTACTGTTCTCACCTATGTTTGTTGGTGAGCAGAAATGAGTGCCTCAGTGTAATCACCTGACGCACAGGATGAAAACTCTTTAGGAATTTTTGCTCTATACCACTACTGTTTCATCTTGTCAGCTTCTTAAAGCTGAAACATCACTTCTACTTAAATATGAGGTGACTAAATGCTGACACCTAAGTTGAGAGAACTAAAGGATCAATGTCTTGCAGTATTTCATATTGGGGGTCAACAACAAAATGTTATTGTTACCAGTATGTGCTCAGCAGTCTGTAAATGTGTTCATACACCTACGTGTTTGAGTGATGTTTCTTGTCACTCACCAGTAATGCTGTGGCTGGGGAGAGTGCTCTGGACAGAATCGCATGTGGTCTGGGAGGAAAGATCATTTTACCAATGATCAAACAGCACATCATGCAGATGCTGCAGAACCGTAAGCAGACCCATTGATAACCGAATACATTTAGTGTTATACCAGTTTGTACAGAAGCTTTGTTCATATTTAGGCTTTTTTTTTTTTTTTAAACAAGCTGTTGCGTGAAAGTTTAACATTTACTTTGAGCCTCAAGTTATGAAGCACTCTCATTTAATTATGTGGCACTTTGAACTAGTCAATGAACACGAGACTAACCCTGTGTGTTTGTTGCTAGCTGACTGGAAGTACCGCCACGCTGGGCTGATGGCACTGTCGGCCATCGGTGAAGGCTGCCACCAGCAGATGGAGGCAATCCTCCAAGAGATTGTCAGCTTTGTCCTCCTCTTCTGTGCTGACCCAGTAAGAAAAAGAAATCTTCCAACTTGTCTCTTACTACAAAGATAAAGCACATTGTAATCCAGGTTACTTTAATATCAGAATATACATGTAATGTATGATTAGATTAACTTTTAGTGTGGTTTTGTTTTTCCCCTTTGTTTTACCCCAATATCTTAACTGTTTAGTTGCTAATATTACAGGACATGTGTGTGATGGTTTTGAGTTTGGCTTCTTTTTTCCCCCCCCCTCAGCACCCAAGGGTGCGCTATGCTGCCTGCAATGCTATTGGACAAATGGCCACAGACTTTGCCCCAACCTTCCAAAAGAAATTCCATGATAAGGTAACTAAAGAGTTGATTATAGGTTTTGGGAAACAGTGACTTGATTGTGTGACAAACATCTGACTAGAGTGTAAAAACTGCACCCAGCAGCCTTCAGCCTCATGTGTGCAGAGATGTGTATGCACTGTAATGACCCTGTAGATGGAGGGTTTCATTCCTTGTGATTTTTGAGAAAAGAGTGGCATCAGACCAGAACTGATTACCTGTTGGATAAGTAAAGTCAGACTCTAAGCCTACAACATGTCGCTTTCCAGGTGATTTCAGCCCTGCTTCAGACCATGGAGGACCAGAGTAACCCTCGGGTGCAGGCACACGCTGCTGCTGCCCTCATCAACTTTACTGAGGACTGCCCCAAATCACTGCTCATCCCTTATCTGGACAGCTTGGTGCAACACCTTCATGTCATCATGGTGGCCAAGCTGCAAGAGGTGTGTGTGTGTGTGTGTGTGTATGTATATATATCAGTGAAAATATTAACCAGAGCCACATGTGGTATCTACCTTTGAGCCCCCCAAGTATCCTACATGCTGTCAGGAGCCCTAAATGTCCTCTTCTGTTCTCAGCTGATCCAGAAGGGCACCAAACTGGTCCTGGAGCAGGTAGTGACATCTATTGCCTCAGTGGCAGACACAGCTGAGGAGAAGTTTGTGCCATACTATGACCTGTTCATGCCCTCGCTAAAACACATCGTAGAAAACGCAGTGCAGAAGGAGCTCCGGCTGCTCCGTGGCAAGACCATAGAGTGCATCAGCCTCATTGGCCTGGCTGTCGGCAAGGAGAAGGTATGTGCACACAGTGATCAAATTAGTCGCCAACATCTTTAAAAGACCTTTTAGAAAAAGTTGACCCGATATGCCCATGCTTCTAATGTCTTCACATTTCCTTTTCTTTCTGCTGTGGTACTAGTTCATTCCAGATGCCTCAGCCGTCATGCAGCTGCTCCTCAAAACGCAAACGGACTTCAATGACCTGGAGGATGACGATCCTCAGGTACAAAAACTTGGATGACCTTTGAACTGTAAAAATATTTATTGCTATCCATTGCTACGTAGATGACCTTCCATGTTTTGTGCTTGTGGTTTTAGATCTCGTACATGATCTCAGCCTGGGCCAGGATGTGTAAGATCCTGGGGAAAGATTTTCAGCAGTGCCTGCCTGTGGTGATGGCAGCCTCCATCAAGCCTGAGGTGGCCCTCCTTGACAGTAAGAAGTTTTCAGTTACATACTCTGGATTCTTAAAGGTCTGCAGAGATGTTAAAAGCCACTGATTGACACCGAAACATCCATCTCTCTTGTAGCCCAGGACATGGAGAATATATCAGAGGATGATGGCTGGGAGTTTGTCAACCTGGGAGACCAGCAGAGTTTTGGCATCAAGACGGCCGGCCTGGAGGAGAAGGCCACTGCCTGTCAGATGCTGGTGAGCAGAAGAGCACAGACACATGAAAGTCATGTTGAGCTATGTCTCAGAGCGGCAGATGGTAGCACTGTCACTGTTGAATTAATCTGTCTGTAGATATTAAGGTCACTAAAATGCTCATTTTGCTAATTTCCAGCAATTTCATGTTTAATCTTGGTTACCTCTAGATTAGCTTGGCACTCCTCATAACTCCAAATAGTTTGTAATTGTTTCAGAATCAGAGCCAGAAATTAATCTGTTAAAACAAGAGGATGGTTCGTGAACATGCACAGTTCCTGGTGTTTCAAGTGGACAGCACAATGAACCACGACATTGAGCTATGTCTCAGAGCGGCAGATGGTAGCACTGTCACTGTTGAATTAATCTGTCTGTAGATATTAAGGTCACTAAAATGCTCATTTTGCTAATTTCCAGCAATTTCATGTTTAATCTTGGTTACCTCTAGATTAGCTTGGCACTCCTCATAACTCCAAATAGTTTGTAATTGTTTCAGAATCAGAGCCAGAAAGCCTCTTCTTAAAACAAGAGGATGGTTCGTGAACATGCACAGTTCCTGGTGTTTCAAGTGGACAGCACAATGAACCACGACAAAATTAATTAATATGAATTTCTCCTGTATAGATGGGTAAACGGCGGTTTATTTACTGATGAAAAAAAGATGCAGAACGCTAAACAAAATGAGTAATTGAGAAACCCCATATTTTCACTGGCATAATGCAGACATGGTAACTTCTCCAGCCTTGCAACAATTCTGTAATGTTACAGAAACAAGGCACTAACAGGCATTCAGTGTCTTTTTATTTTTTTTATTTTTTTTTTTAACTTGGCGTTTAGTCCCACCGAGTAGTGGAAACATCACTCCCTTTCAAGTAGCTCCAAGGTCGGTAATTCCAACCAGTGGTCGCTGTGCCTTCCCCCTCATGTCCACATACAATCCCAAAGTAATGAAATTAATTCCAACAGGTAGTTTAGTGCCAACAATAACATCATGGATCCTTAATCCCCTTATTAACAAGCGACACATCACATGTGGCAGACACACTGGACTCAAGCAGTCGGGTACTGTGCTCCGGGGGACTCCAGCAGTTAAGTTCATCACTAACTGGGGCTTCACTGCCCTGCTGCTTGTAGGTTAGACCTGGTCAAGTAAAATGGTGAGTCCCTGTACAGGAACAATTTCCAGACATGCAGTAGCCTCAGGGCCTGTATTTTTATTTATTTATTTTTTTTCCCCTCCACATCCTCTGGTCACAGTGCAGCAGCAGGAGGAAGTAAAATACATCCACAAAGCCAGGAGCAGTCGAAAAATTCTGCTTTCACAATGGCACTGTGGATGTTAGGCAAACTCACATGAACGTGCAATGGCCTGGATTTCATGCCCATTCAAGGAAATCCTTCAACTAAATACTTTATTTTGGTAGAAAAAAAAGTCGTTAGTGAGTTTGCCAGATGCATTATATTGCCAAAAGTATTCACTCACCCATCCAAATCATTGGATCAGGTGTCACTTCCATGGTTACAGGTGTATATAATCAAACACCTAGGCATGCAGACTGCTTCTACAAACATTTGTGAAAGAATGGGTCGCTCTCAGGAGCTCAGTGACCTCCAGCGTGGTACTGTGATAGGATGCCACCTGTGCTATAGGTCCAGCTGTGAAATTTCCTTGCTACTAAATATTCCAGTCAACTGTTAGTGGTATTATAACAAAGTGGAAGTGATTGGGAATGACAGCAACTCAGCCATGAAGTGGTAGGCCACATAAAATCAGAGTGGGGTCAGTGGATGCGGAGACACATAGTGCACAGAGGTCACCAACTTTCTGCAGAGTCGATAGCTACAGACCTCCAAATGTCATGTGGCTTTCAGCTCAAGAACAGTGTGTAGAGAACTTCATAGAATGGGGTTCCATGGTCGAACAGCTGCATCAAGCCCTACATCACCAAGTGCAATGCAAAGTGTCGGATGCAGTGGTGTAAAGCACATGTCACTGGACTCTAGAGCAGTGGAGACGTGTTCTCTGGAGTGACGAATCACGCTTCTCTGGCAATCCCATGGACCAGTCTGGGTTTGGCAGTTGCCAGGAGAATGGTACTTGTCTGACTGCATTGTGCCAAGTGTAAAGTTTGGTGGAGGGGGGTGGTGGGGTTATGATGCAGGGTTGTTTTTCAGGAGCTGGGCTTGGCCCCTTAGTTCCAGTGAAAGGAACTCTTAATGCCTCAGCATACCAAGACATTTTGGACAATTTCATGCTCCCACCTTTGTGGGAACAGTTTGGGGATGGCCCCTTCCTGTTCCAACATGACTGCACACCACTACACAAAGCAAGGTCCATAAAGACATGGATGAGTGAGTTTGGTGTGGAAGAACTTGACTGGCCTGCACAGAGTCCTGACCTCAACCCGATAGAACACCTTTGGGGAAAAGAGTTTCAGCAGTCCCTGCCTGTGGTGATGGGCCCCCTGATGAAGACAGCCTCCATCAAGCCTGAGGTGGCCCTCCTTGACAGTAAGAAGTTTTCAGTTACATACTCTGGATTCTTAAAGGTCTGCAGAGATGTTAAAAGCCACTGATTGACACCGAAACATCCATCTCTCTTGTAGCCCAGGACATGGAGAATATATCAGAGGATGATGGCTGGGAGTTTGTCAACCTGGGAGACCAGCAGAGTTTTGGCATCAAGACGGCCGGCCTGGAGGAGAAGGCCACTGCCTGTCAGATGCTGGTGAGCAGAAGAGCACAGACACATGAAAGTCATGTTGAGCTATGTCTCAGAGCGGCAGATGGTAGCACTGTCACTGTTGAATTAATCTGTCTGTAGATATTAAGGTCACTAAAATGCTCATTTTGCTAATTTCCAGCAATTTCATGTTTAATCTTGGTTACCTCTAGATTAGCTTGGCACTCCTCATAACTCCAAATAGGTTGTACTTGTTTCAGAAGAGAGCCAGAAAGCCTCTTCTTAAAACAAGAGGATGGTTCGTGAACATGCACAGTTCCTGGTGTTTCAAGTGGACAGCACAATGAACCACGACAAAATTAATTAATATGAATTTCTCCTGTATAGATGGGTAAACGGCGGTTTATTTACTGATGAAAAAAAGATGCAGAACGCTAAACAAAATGAGTAATTGAGAAACCCCATATTTTCACTGGCATAATGCAGACATGGTAACTTCTCCAGCCTTGCAACAATTCTGTAATGTTACAGAAACAAGGCACTAACAGGCATTCAGTGTCTTTTTATTTTTTTTATTTTTTTTTTTAACTTGGCGTTTAGTCCCACCGAGTAGTGGAAACATCACTCCCTTTCAAGTAGCTCCAAGGTCGGTAATTCCAACCAGTGGTCGCTGTGCCTTCCCCCTCATGTCCACATACAATCCCAAAGTAATGAAATTAATTCCAACAGGTAGTTTAGTGCCAACAATAACATCATGGATCCTTAATCCCCTTATTAACAAGCGACACATCACATGTGGCAGACACACTGGACTCAAGCAGTCGGGTACTGTGCTCCGGGGGACTCCAGCAGTTAAGTTCATCACTAACTGGGGCTTCACTGCCCTGCTGCTTGTAGGTTAGACCTGGTCAAGTAAAATGGTGAGTCCCTGTACAGGAACAATTTCCAGACATGCAGTAGCCTCAGGGCCTGTATTTTTATTTATTTATTTTTTTTCCCCTCCACATCCTCTGGTCACAGTGCAGCAGCAGGAGGAAGTAAAATACATCCACAAAGCCAGGAGCAGTCGAAAAATTCTGCTTTCACAATGGCACTGTGGATGTTAGGCAAACTCACATGAACGTGCAATGGCCTGGATTTCATGCCCATTCAAGGAAATCCTTCAACTAAATACTTTATTTTGGTAGAAAAAAAAGTCGTTAGTGAGTTTGCCAGATGCATTATATTGCCAAAAGTATTCACTCACCCATCCAAATCATTGGATCAGGTGTCACTTCCATGGTTACAGGTGTATATAATCAAACACCTAGGCATGCAGACTGCTTCTACAAACATTTGTGAAAGAATGGGTCGCTCTCAGGAGCTCAGTGACCTCCAGCGTGGTACTGTGATAGGATGCCACCTGTGCTATAGGTCCAGCTGTGAAATTTCCTTGCTACTAAATATTCCAGTCAACTGTTAGTGGTATTATAACAAAGTGGAAGTGATTGGGAATGACAGCAACTCAGCCATGAAGTGGTAGGCCACATAAAATCAGAGTGGGGTCAGTGGATGCGGAGACACATAGTGCACAGAGGTCACCAACTTTCTGCAGAGTCGATAGCTACAGACCTCCAAATGTCATGTGGCTTTCAGCTCAAGAACAGTGTGTAGAGAACTTCATAGAATGGGGTTCCATGGTCGAACAGCTGCATCAAGCCCTACATCACCAAGTGCAATGCAAAGTGTCGGATGCAGTGGTGTAAAGCACATGTCACTGGACTCTAGAGCAGTGGAGACGTGTTCTCTGGAGTGACGAATCACGCTTCTCTGGCAATCCCATGGACCAGTCTGGGTTTGGCAGTTGCCAGGAGAATGGTACTTGTCTGACTGCATTGTGCCAAGTGTAAAGTTTGGTGGAGGGGGGTGGTGGGGTTATGATGCAGGGTTGTTTTTCAGGAGCTGGGCTTGGCCCCTTAGTTCCAGTGAAAGGAACTCTTAATGCCTCAGCATACCAAGACATTTTGGACAATTTCATGCTCCCACCTTTGTGGGAACAGTTTGGGGATGGCCCCTTCCTGTTCCAACATGACTGCACACCACTACACAAAGCAAGGTCCATAAAGACATGGATGAGTGAGTTTGGTGTGGAAGAACTTGACTGGCCTGCACAGAGTCCTGACCTCAACCCGATAGAACACCTTTGGGATGAATTAGAGTGGAGACTGCGATCTAGGCCTTCTCGTCCAACATCAGTGTCTGGCCTCACAAATGTGCTTCTGGAAGAGTGGTCAAAAATTCCCATTAACACACTCCTAAAGCTTGTGAACACTCTTCCCAGAAGAGTTGAAGCTGTTATAGATGCAAAGGGTTGGCCAACATCATATTAAACCCTATGGATTAAGAATCAGTTGTTACTCAAGTGCATGTGAAGGTAGACGAGCGAATACTTTTGGCAGTACAGTGCATGTATAAACCAAGTTGCTTCTGCATAGAAATACTAGCCCATTTTTTGAGCTTTAGGTCATGTCTGAGATAATTCACGATTGTAATGTTGTACATAAGTCAAACAAGGAAAAGCATGGCATTGAGCCCAGATAGTAAAATGCTCTGCTGTGTTGCAGGTGTGTTATGCCAAAGAGCTGAAAGAGGGTTTTGTGGAGTACACAGAGCAGGTGGTGAAGCTGATGGTTCCGCTACTCAAGTTCTACTTCCATGATGATATCCTTTTGTTATAGACACAATATACTTGGCCAAAAACAATTTTACTACTTTGGCACTTGATGAATTACAAACCTATTCCCTAACTGTCTCACGTGTGCGGGTGGCAGCTGCTGAATCCATGCCCCTGCTGCTGGAGTGTGCCCGAGTTCGAGGGCCAGAGTACCTTACCCAGATGTGGCACTTCATGTGTGACGCCCTCATCAAGGCCATTGGCACTGAGCCAGATTCTGACGTCCTGTCAGAGATCATGCACTCTTTTGCCAAGGTAACATCAGTAGTGCTATTTATTTATTTATTTTTTTCCCACCAGCATGTGCACAATGTGACAAAATTTGAATATATTTAGGAACCAGGTCCAGTGTCTGATGTGTTTTCTGTTAGTGTATTGAGTTGATGGGAGACGGCTGTCTGAACAATGAGCATTTTGAGGAGCTGGGCGGCATCCTGAAAGGAAAACTTGAGGAGCATTTTAAGAACCAGGAGCTCAGACAAGGTGAAGCTTCATCACAGAACATCTGACTGACCTTTTCTCTTCAAACAAAACTTGGTTTGAAAATGTCTTGTAAGGAACCGTTGACTGAGTCCAGTTTGTCATAAAGTGTAAACCTTTCATGACATCCAAAAAAAAAGGGTGCAACTTTCTTTGTATGCTTCTTTTCATGAGTTGGTAATGCAATCCTGTTGTTCACAGCCAAGAGACAGGATGAAGACTATGATGAGCAGGTAGAGGAAACATTACAAGATGAGGTAAATATCTTAAAGCTGTTATGAAAACTGGAAATTGTCCAATAAAGTCTACACAAGACGCATTCTTGAGACCATAATGTCCCTTTCTTCCCCTGCAGGACGAGAATGATGTGTACATCCTGACCAAAGTGTCAGATATCCTCCACTCAGTTTTCAGTAGTTACAAAGAGAAGGTGCTGCCTTGGTTTGAACAGCTGTTGCAGCTCATCGTCCAGCTTGTAGTGAGTACATAATATTCCTGACCAACAACTGACTTGAAAAACCATTAAATCAGTGGCCACCAGATGGCAGCATTCTTGATTTTGTAGATGAACCTCACATTGCTGTAGACACATCTGTGAATGCTAAAGGTGTATTTCACCAGAAACCAACTGGTTGTGTTGCTTCTGTTCAGTGTCCCAACAGGCCGTGGGCAGACAGACAGTGGGGTCTGTGCATGTTTGATGATGTGGTGGAGCACTGCAGCCCCTCCTCCTTCAAATATGCCGAGTATTTCCTGCGGCCAATGTTGCAGTCACTGTGTGACTCGAGTCCTGAGGTTCGGCAGGCTGCTGCCTACGGTGTCGGCGTCATGGCTCAGTATGGAGGAGAGAACTACCGTCCATTCTGCACAGGTAGAGCTTGTTGCTTCCTTCACTTAGGGTAATGTTTTTACCAGCTTATGCATTTTGTTTAACTAGATGTGTCCATTCCCCTGGTCCAGAGGCTATCCCCGCGCTGGTCAGAGTCATCCAGACAGCTGACTCGCGCTCCAAGGAGAACGTCAACGCCACAGAGAACTGCATCTCTGCTGTTGGAAAAGTCATGAGGTTTCGGCCAGAGTGCGCCAATGTCAGTGAGATCCTTCCCCACTGGCTCAGCTGGCTGCCGCTCAGCGAAGACAAAGAGGAGGCTGTCCACACATTTGACTTTCTCTGTGATCTCATTGAAAGGTAGGACAGCTACCACTTGTCCCTGTTTTGTTAAATTGGAAAACCAGAAACTCTATTTTTCCCCTCCTGCTGTGCTGACTGCTGTCTTCTCTCCACAGCAACAACCCCATTGTCCTTGGACCAGACAACTCCAACCTTCCTAAAATCTTCCTCATCATCGCAGATGGAGTTGCAAATGAGTCGGTTAAGGGTGAAGATGCTTGCAGCAAACGGCTTGCAAATGTCATACATCAAGTACAGGTATGTTGTAATAATTGTTTGTAAACTAACAGGCGGGAATCATTTCAGCATGGACAGCAAGATGATTGTAGAGCTCATAAATCATTAGAGGCTGACCCTTTTTGTCATGTCCTCCAGGTATCAGCAGGAGGACTATGGACACAGTGTGTATCGACACTGAATGAAACGCAGCAGAAAGCCATACAGGACCTTCTGAATAGTGCCTGAGCCTGAACCTTTGCCCTCCATCCCAATGCTTTGAGAAGTCCATGAAGAAAAGTTGATCTCCTAGATCTCTTCCATAGACTCCTCTTCTTCCTCCTGCTCTGGTCTGTAGTGTGTATGGACACAGGCTTCACCATTACCACCCCCTCCCTACCGTTTTATGTAACTCCACCTGGGTGAACAGGTTGGATATTTAAGACAAGAGGACATAGGCTATCTACCTTTCACAAAGTGTACCCAAGGAAGTGGGAATGAGTGTCTGTCAGTCTTCCCTCTCATCAGTTACATGTCTATCTGAACATTTTGTTTCCAACCATTCCCTGATGTGTGATTTGCTTCATTCTCCACATCGGCCAACAAACTCATTGGACAGTCGAGCTCTGAGGGGCTATAGTAGAGGAACTGGGGACAGGACATTCTAACGGACTGAGCAACTGAGGTGTAAATGCACACTGGGCAATCACTGCCTGCCTCCTGCGAAATTTTTTTTTTTTTTTTCTCTCGTCGTTCCATTGTCCCAGGGTTACCTAGGGGGAACGGCCTCTGTCTGCCATAGCTTCAGAGGGTATGTTTCAGAAGTTGCAGCATGTTTGTTAGGTGGCTGAGAAAATGTAGTTAAGAAATTTGTCATCGTCTGGGAAGAGTAGACATTGATTTAAGCAGCTTTGTGCCGTAGCCTTCCACACAGCTGTTTACAGGAAATGAGTCTTTAGATGAAGTGTTTGAGGAGTTCTGGCTCTTTTAGGCGGCAGTATGTGTACGGGGCTCCCAGAATCCTATGGTTGCTCATAGCTTCAAAGCCTGTGTTGAGCTGAAGAAAAATTGTAGAGTATTTGTAAAATGTGTGCTAACATTACCATACTCTTAACATTATGATTTTGACCCAGGTTTGTGATGGAGTTCCAGAAAATGCCAACAATAAAGTTACAATTGATGATTCTGAGAAATTAGTGACTTTTTTTTTTTTCCCCCACCCCCAATGATATACCTAAAGTTAAACTAAGTGAAGACGGGAGCTTAAACCAATGAATGACATGTTGGTAATCTAGACAAAACCATGCTAGCTGTTTTCCAGTGTTTAAACGAAGCAGTGTTGTATCTAAATCGGTTCCATCTTCCTGGAGCTTGACCAGCTGTTTTCCTGCTTTGCTTAACCCTGAACCATTTGTGTTGCCTAACTACCCTAACTCTAAACATAAAGGTCATGACTTCTAGCTGTGCACCATATTCTGTGCCCTAACCAAGACTGTCTGCTGTATTGGTGTTGTCATACAGTAACAAATGCTGCCCCATAGTATTTAGACAGGGTCACAATTTTTATAGCTGTGATAGGGAAAACTGCTTCCTCAACTGCTATAAAGTCAAGTTATTTGGGGGTACACAGGTAAAACAATAGGGTTTGTCGTGTATTACTGGCATTCTAGTAAATGCTGTTCAATCACCCAAGACACCAGGCATCTGTTTCAACAGAGCAGCCATGCTTTATTAGTACATCTGGACCAACGGCAAGGACAAGTTTAATTTAAAGCTTTCAACCCAGCTCAAATCATGGATGGTGACCTGGCACCTTCTATCGACAGCTGGGACTGCTCCCCACCTTTACAAAACCCCAAAATATACATATGCATGTTACACAGCCAAAAGTAAGACACCCAGATGTCAGTTTATTTGGTAGCTAAATGAATGCAACAGTGCAGCAATCAATCTTTCCTTCATGGAGAAACAAATTGTTTTGAGGAAATTGGTGTTGACTCCACTTCGGTCATTTTGGGGCTGTTAAAATGGTCCTGTTGTACTAAGATTTTCTAATATTCATCTACCCTCAAACGATGTGGACAAAATATTAGAAATGCTTGAGTGCTGCACAGTACACGCTAGCAGCCCCCAAGCTGAGTAGAGTGGTTTCAACAATGTAACCTTTCATTTCTCATGAAGGTTGGACTTGTTGTGTTGTATTGGTTTTAGCTGACTGTGCTTCTATCAACAGGCAAATGACTCTGATGTGGATTTTCTCTGCACAAACACTACAATTATTTCACTTCCATTTCTACTAGGGCCCCATTGAAACTGGAAGTTTAAATCCCCAGTCCAGCTGGGAACAATGGGTAAACTGCTGCTTGTCACTTGTCAGGTTGCTACTGAAACGGTCAGTTGCGTAAATCAGGACATTTGTAAATTACATCACAGGAGTAGTAACTGCTATTTTGTGTGATTTTCTTTGCCGCAACCAGCTTTTCAAAACTTCAGGCCTTTTCTGAACCCACACAAACGGTACTGGTCTGATTTCTAGAGTAGCATCACTGATCTCTCACTTTCAGCTTGAATATGATCAGGAAGAGCATGATGTAAAGGAACCTTTCAGAGGTTAGTGAGAGGGGAGCTATAGTTAAAACTGATTAAATACAGGTGATGAGCAGATTTGTGCCACATAGAAAATAAAGATTTTCAGTTTAACACTACCAGACCAGAGAGGGGTGTGTGTATGCCAGTGTCAGTAGATAATACAGTATTTATAATGCAGATGACTATCTGTACAAGCCAGTAAGTGAGGGGAGTTCAGTGAACAGGGAGAGAGGAATATGTCAGAAATGAGGAGCATCACACTAACAGTGATTTGGTCAGTGATTTTCACCATCCAAACACCTACACAGCCTCATTCTTCTTTCATTATCCAGTCTCTTTTTTTTTCACATGGTCTTTCTTGTTTCAGCCTTGCCCCTCCCACTTCACTGAAGCATATCCACAAACGCATCAAACTCGTCAATGTTTTTCTCATAGATGGCCAGTTTCTCTGGCAGAGAGTCCTACAAAGAAAATACAAATAACTTAATAGTTGCATCCATTCACTGTTTTACTCAATCCCACTATGGAAATAAAGACTTTAACATCATTTAAAAAAAAAAAAGTGCTTTACCAGGTCATCAGCCATGGACTGGGAGCTGATGTGTAGTGAGAGGCTGGTCAACTGCGGAGGGTTCTGAAACTCTCTGTAGAAGGTGCCCAGATCCATCGGCAACAAGTCATCCTTAGAGAAGGCTGGCCGCTACACATACACAGACAGAGACAACTACTTGTTTTCCAAATCCTAAATCACAGATGACATAAGGTTCACAGTGAATAACTAAATCAGAATTAGGACTGCAGTTAGCAGAAGAGAATGGAGCAATAGTTGCATACAAAATTGATCATGACAAAATCATCCTGCTGCCCTGATCCCTCTGAGCCCTGGGAGTGAAGGCTGGCCTGCAGGGGGGACGGGCAGGGAGGAGAGTCTGGAGGCTGCACCTGAACACATGCAAATATGAGTGCAAAAAAAAAAATTCTAGGTTGAGGTTTATCTGTAAAATGATCATCATCCACTGTCCACTTCAAGACAGAACAGAAAAAAATTCTGGTGATGTGATGCTCTAACATCGGCTTCGGTTTCATCAACAGACAGCACTTGAAAATTACATGCACAGTTACCATGGGATCATTCTGCTCTGGGTCCAAGCCTCGAGGAGCAAATGCAGCAAATGGCAGGTCCAGACTGGCTGCTGTTATCTACAAATAAACACACAGTGTACTCTTCAGCGGTGAAACAGGAGCAGCTAAGAGTAACAAAACCCACACCTAGCTCAAACACTAGCTCAATTCTGCTCTGGTGTATGCAGATGTTTCAAAATAATTGTGAGGAAGACTTCAGTGGAACAGTCAGTTACCAAATGCAGGAAATAAACAAAACAAGCTATTTTTGACTTACCTGTGTACTGGGCTTACTGACAAAGGCCCCAACTTTCCTTGTGAATGCACTGAGAGACTCCACTGGATCAGAGGGAGAAACACTCCTCCTCCCTTCATCCCTCTTTCCTTCTCCACTTTGTGACAGACCGTCATCATCGCCACTGAGAAGACAGATGAGACAGTTACAGGTTTCATCAAATTCAGACTCATGACAGCAAAAGGAAATAATGTTGAGTTTGCAGTACAAACATATAATGTGCGAGGACACTATAAATCTAGTTTAACATTTAGCTGACACTAAAGTTGAAGTGATGCTAGGAGGGAATCACCTGCTGCCCGGTGTGTTGGAAGCATGCTCCACTGTCAGATTGGCATCAGCTCCATGGGGAGCCTGAGCAGGAACCAACACAATGCCACCCTCTTTCCCAGCATGCAGTACCTAAGGACAAGGGTGGAGTTAAAGTATACAGTGGTTTTGTCTGCTCATAGAATGTATTAGTACTATGTTTATTTATACACTTTTCCTCTGGGAACTATGAACCAATACGTGATTTTTATTTTTTTTAATGGAGAATGAAAAGCAAAAAAATAAAGTTGTCAGTGATCTCTGGTGAAATACATAACTGTATTTCATTTATTTCTAGGTGTATTAAAGTGTGTGCAAGGTTGTTTAATTTGATGAAGTAGCCCAAAAATTGACATTTTTTTGTTCAATAAAACTTGAAATTCAATTGAAACATGAAATTCTTTATAACAAAAGCTGTGATGTAAAAATTACACATATACTCACTCCTATTTAAGGAAGCCATTGTTTCTAAATCACCACAAACAGATCTGTGGGATTTCTTTGCTCCAGTTTCTCATAACTTAATCAGTCAACATAACACAAATACAGATGTATCTGCATATATGATCAGTCAATAATATCGGCCATGCTGATGGATCAGTCGAGCTCTGCTATGAATGAAGTGATATTGGTGACTGACTGGTGCATCACCTGGTTTGGATTGGCAGCAGGGTGACAAAGCTCAGTGGCTCCTGCTAGAGCTGGAGGCTGGTAGGATAACCTGGAAGTATACAGCTAGACAAGAAGAACCATAGAGACATAAAGAAGATGAAATATTAACCACTGGTTTAATTAAAATGTAACACTGTGTTGTCAAGATGTTGGAGGTGTGCTGCTGAAATGAGCTGAAGATGAATTTGTCTTACTACTGTGGTATGTGTGATGGAGATAATACAACAAAAGGATGAAACAGTTCTAGTGAACAGCAGCTTCTGCAGCAAAATCAAGCTACAAAGCACAAACACCTGGACTAAAAAAAGTGATGGAACTTTGAACACAGTCAAAACAGATGATGGTAAAAATAGGTTTCTGATGCAACTTTGCTACATCAAGCAGTAACACACATCCCGAAACAGCTGTTCAGTGCGGGCACCTCACACAATCACGCTCTCACAGTGGTCAGTATAGACTCACAGTGTGAGTGACAAGTCCAGGAGCCAATGGAAGCTGCAGACTATCCAGGGGGAGGGGCTTAGACAGTTTAGAGGGAGACGGACTCAGTGTACACACACACTGAGATAATGCAGACACGCACATGGATAAACCAACAATAAAAATACAACAGACAAAGAGAGAAAAGAGAAAGTGAAGTGAAAAACAGGCATGAAAATGGAGAGAAGTTGTCACAGGATAAAGAAAGTGAGTAAAGAAGAGTGTTAGTGAGTGTGTAAGCCTACCTGAGAGGGAGGGGAGGTGGAGAAGGATGTGGTGCAGACCTCCTGTGACTCCTGAACTCCCGCAAATGGTGCTCCGTCCTCCTCGTCTGGAGCTCTGGACACACACAAACATTTATCTGATGAATTTTTTTTACATCCTACTGAAGGCTGGAAACTGCAGAAGGAAGGCAACAAAGTTATTTCTTTAAAACATGCATACACAGTTATTTATATTATGGAGAAATGAACAAATCTAAAAGCCTAGTCTCTGCAATAACTGCAGTTAAAACCTTTAGACCTAAAGTTTAAACAAATTAACAAACTAAAATCCAGAAAATAACCATTTCTTCTTTTTGATCCAGCTGAGTAATATATTTAAAATTTTGATCAGTCTCACAGGCATACATATACAGTAAGTGAGGAAGAAGTGACATACGAGTCATTACATTACCTAAAAGCTCCCGTTTGCGCTGAGACATACTCAGCTACAGCAGTGTGTTCAGTGGGGTTGTGGGAAGATAAACCCTTTTTTTTTTCTTTTAAAATGAACAGTTAAATAGAAAGTGTAACTACCCACAATATTTTATGGATAGTGATACACAGGTTAATAAATTGGAGGATGTAGCTGAAAAGTTTAACAGGTTCTTTGTGAACGTTGGTCCTAGTTTAGCAGGTGGCATTTGTACAGATGATACATCCGTCACTATAAATAATAATACAATTGAAAGGAACATGAGTTCAATGTTTTTGAAGCCCATAGCTGAAGAGGAAATTATAGAGATAGTGAATAAATGTGGTAACAAAACATCTAGTGATAGTGATGGTATCACAATGACAACTGTCAAGTGGGTAATTGAGGGGATATGTAAACCATTAACCCATATTTTTAACATGTCGTTTCGACTTGGGCAGTTCCCCAATAATATGAAAATAGCAAAGGTTATTCCACTGTATAAATCTGGTGATAAACACAACCTCACAAACTATAGACCGATTTCTCTGTTGTCACAATTTTCAAAAATTCTGAAAAAACTCTTTAATAACAGACTAGACACATTTATTGATAAACATAATATCTTATCTGATTGTCAATATGGTTTTAGGTCGAAAAGATCAACATCCTTGGCCATTACTGACCTGATGGAGGACATTACAAGTGCTATGGATGAGAAAAAATATACGATGGGGATATTTATTGACCTAAAAAAAGCTTTTGATACAGTTAATCATGAACTATTAATGGATAAGTTGGAGAAATATGGGATCAGAGGAATGGTTGGGAAATGGATCAGAAGTTATTTGACACAGAGGCGTCAATTTGTGAGGTTGGGTGAATATCAATCAAGTGAGCTGAACATTGTGTGTGGAGTGCCTCAGGGTTCTGTGTTGGGACCTAAACTATTTATATTATACATCAATGATATAGGTAAGGTTTCTGAAACTGTTAAAATGGTTTTGTTTGCTGATGATACTACCATTTGGGCATCAGATGAAAACTTACAGCAACTCTCTGTAAGGGTTTCAGAGGAATTTGGGAAGATAAAGAAATGGTGTGATAATAATTTACTATCTTTGAATTTAGAGAAAACTAAATATATGGTATTTGGGAACCGTAGACCACATAATGAACTTCAATTGAGAATTGGGGGTGCCAACATTGAACGAGTATATGAAATTAAATTTCTGGGGGTAATGGTTGATGACAGATTATCCTGGAAATCTCATATTAGACATGTTCAGCATAAAATAGCTAAAAATATATCGATATTGGCAAGGGTTAGACATATGCTGGACGTCAAAGCATTGCGGATTTTGTATTGTTCATTGATTTTGCCATATTTGGAGTATGGCGTTGAAAACTGGGGAAATACATACAGGAGTTCACTTCAACCATTGTACATATTACAGAAGAGAGCGATAAGAGTTGTGCACAAGATGGGGTATAGGGATCACACAAATGTAGCTTTCATACAGTCTAAATTGTTAAAATTCTTTGATTTAGTGGAATATAAGACTGCTGTGTTTATGTATAAGGCCAGGAACAATTTATTGCCTGGTGGAATCCAAAAGCTATTTGGTGAAAGGGAAGGGGGATATAACTTAAGGGGACATTTAAATTTAAAAGTTCATGCTATACGAACAACCAAAAAAAGATTTTGTATTTCTATAAGTGGGGTCAAACTATGGAATAACTTAACTGTGGACATGAAAAATAGTACCAGAATTAAGGAGTTTAAATATAAATATAAATGTATGTGTTATACAAGATATATGCACGAATAAGTAACAATCTGCTTTATCTATGTAGTGATATTGCTTGCAGCCAATGTTGCATAAATTTTGTATAATATGATGTCATGGGGTAGGACTGGATAAGTTTGACTTCTTCCTACTCCATTCAAACATGTAATAGGTGTAAGCAAACTGATTTTGAATTAGCATTGGTTGGATGTGTGTAATCATGTGTGTTATTGTCATTTGTTCATTGTTCTGTTCTGTTCTGCATGTTTGAAAGAATAAATAAATCAATCAATCAATCAATCAATCAATCAATCAATCAATCAATCAATCAACAGTTGCTTATTTCCAGAGCTTTTCATATCTACCTGTAATTGCATGGCTGTCCACTGTTTGCAGGACGCTGGCTGCTGCAGGGAGGATCCACAAAGTGATCCACAATGATCCCCATGATAGGAGCTGACCGCTCAAACTGCCTGCAGACAACAACATTTGATGAGTTGTGCTGTTTTTGTCAAAGAAGTAGTGAATCACTGATTTAATTTTTTAATACATTTCCATTTAAAATAAGCAAATGAAAATTTCTTGAGTTATTATTAGCTACCTGTTAGACATGAATGCCAGGTTGGTGCGGTAGGCACATGAAAGTGTGACTGTGCCAACAGGGGTGCCAACGACACCAACACGCACGGTCTGAAAACCTTAAACACAAACAACAACAGGCCTCAACAAACAAGCATATTGCCTAATTTAATGCAGGCGCTTCACTACAAATTATAAATGTGCTGACCGGACACTTGCTTTCACTGATTTAAGACATCTCAGTTACCTTCTCCTAGTCCACTCAGCTGAACTTCTCCAAAGTAGATCCTACACAAAAGATCGGCAGAAATAAGAGAAATCTCTAAGTGTAGATGGATGGACTAAATGTTCACTAACAAAAACAGCACAAGTAAAAGAAGTACAGAATGGGACATCAAATTCATTATATTTTGGCAGTAAGTCAGATAAACCTGCTGTTTAACAGGGCTGAAAGAGTCAAAACACCTGTACAGTATGACATAGTCGTGTCCCTGCTTTCTGGACAGTTTATAGGTGGGTGTTACTCTGGTGATGGCCAGCAGAGACTTCAGAAGGACAGACAGACGATTGTAGACTGTATATGACACCTTGATGTCCTTATCGCACCTGTAGGAGAGACAGACAACACACTGACTCATTAGAATACTGCAGCTTGGTGGTATTTTAAGTAAATGTCAACTCAGTATAAAAATATCTCTGCTGTTTAGGACTTTTTATGAATATAGTAGCATGTGGTTTCAGCTGGTTCTTTTTCCTTCCTTCACTCATTCCAACTACAGTTGTCTTTCCATTAACAAACCATCTGGTGCAATCCCACAAGTCAGATATGTTTATGGGAATAATTCTAGATTTGTGGTCCTCTGGGTTAATCCTGCATAACCATATAAAGTTTCAGACACAGGCAGCAATGACAGATCTCTTAATGTATTTCACAAAACATTTGGCAACTAGAACAAATAGCAAAAATCAAAGCAGAGTCCACTCACTTTTCATTCATCTCCAAGCACCAAGTCTCTAACTCCATTGAATCACCCTGAGTGAGAGAGAAAAAGACAAATGCTCACAGGAACATATAACTGGAACTAAACAACAACTGAAAATTCATTTTCTCTCACACACACAGGAGTATGGTTGATCTATTGACTGCAATTCATAAAATACTGGAGATATTTCCGTGCATAAAGCACTTTATACTGGCTCATGTTATCCACGTGGCAACTCACACAGAGTAGAGGTACAGTGTGTTCTGGTTTCAAACAAAGACCTCAGCAACCAATTACAGTTTATGAACCTCATTATCTGATGTGATGTTTTACCTCTGAGGTCTTCAGGGAGATCTCAACGCACATGGAGCGCCCGATAGCTGGAAGTTGGCCAGCCAATGCCTTCTTGGCTTCATGAGTCACCTCTGGGATGTCTTTGATGGCCAAATTAAACTAGAAGAAATAATAACATAAAAAGTGAAATGAAATAGATACGAATTTAAATAAAAGTTTACAGAAAATAGGAGGTGACATTAGGAAAGTTATATGTGATGTATACATTTCAATACCATACACTTTATAAGTGAACAGTGTAAGAAGTTAATAATAAAAATTAATAATTTAATAGCAATCAAATGAAGCCAACATTACACTTGGGCATGAAGACTAATAGTCCAAACAAGTTATAGATATGTGGAAAGCTACACTAAAATATGCTACATAACTTTAAATTTAATCAATTATTACAACAGAAAAATAGAGGGACAGTCTAAATGATTTCACCCAGTCAGAGCCAGTGGGTGATGAGGAAGAGCAAGTGCAGATCTTCTCTCCAAGACGAGCTTGAACTATCACCTGGACAGTCTACAGACACAGGACAGGAGAAAAGAAAGCAAACTGTGAACAGCTGCCACTGAACCAGCCCATTTGAAAATGGTGACAAGACAGGGGCAGACATGGAAAGACATTATGCTGTTAGAATATTTCAAATGTCATTTTTCAGTGCTGTGGGCACTACCAATGAAATGTGCCACCATTATATTTTAGTGGAGGCCGAACTCTCCATGAATTGTCTTTAAAAAAAAAAAAAAAAAAAAAAATTACCAAAAAAACAACAAGAGAAAGAAAAGGAACTGAACCCGTGAAGCAATGTGGGCAACCTACCCCTACCAGAATGCAATAAAAGTTTCAAAATGTCCCGTCAGAAACCATTCATTCACCAAGGCTGCATCAATGTTATTCTGCCAACATAAAAATCCTTTAGTGGGAATCATCATCTTACCTTCAAGGCAAAGAACTTAATGAACTTGTCCAAATCTTTTTTATCCTGGGGACTCAGGTCACTGTCCATGTTGACACAACCCTGGGATCAAACAAGACAGCCCATTAAATATGGACAGAAAACAAACCTCAAAACAATAATTGCTGTGAAAAATGTTTTATAGTAGTTTTATTCATCATTTAAAATGTATAAATAAAATGCAGTCTAATGTCTAACATTATATGCAGACTAATTCTATCAATCCATCCAAAATTACATTAACTCAAGCGAAATGGCAGTTTAATAAATGCCATGCTACAGTACCTATGAATATTTTTACAATACATTTACTCCCTGTGTCCAACAGAACAGCCAAACCAAATTACAAATAAGTTAACGTTAGTGTACTACTAACCAACGTAACAATTACAAAGTTGAAGCAATATCAAATGCAATGAATTGATATGTTTAGCAGAAACAAATAAATAATCGTTTATCACATTTATTAACCCTCAATATAGCAATAATTTGCTTAACAAGCTAGCAACTGAGGCCTCCACGTTGACATGAACTTATCCTGTGAGATTTGGAGGTCATGTTAAACTGTACGACGGTGACAAGCACCTTACATGGTACACCACACCACCTAGCAAATTAAAAAAGCTCTATATCGTCATTTAATCAATAATTACTCAAGTATAACGTTTCAGATAAGGGAGGCAAATGACTCACTGGACAATTAGCGTTAGCTTGGGGCTCATGTCAACTAGCTAGCTGAATAGGACGCACCTTAACTTCATCACAAAACAGGAACACTTACATTCGCTTTTTCCTTGACAATGTAGTTTCCTATAAAATACAACACAGGTTAACAAATGTGACACCCCGTGTTACCTCCCCCAAACATTTATACGCCTAATTCAGATGTAAATAGCGACGGCAACTGCTCTACTTTTCTGTTTATCTTCTCCATGTCGACGTGTTTAAATAGTAGCACTTTCGCTACGGCACTTTCGTAGATGTTTTGTTTAAACGTTTTTTAAGTGTACAGTAAAGAAAACACGTGAACTCACACTTTGAATAATAAAAAATAAAATTTGCATTTTTATGAGCGACGACATTTACTTAAAAACATCAATCACACACATTAAGCCACCCTATGTCGAATCTGCGAATGTATGCTGCAAGATAGGTGTTCCTGACCTGTAGTTTGTTTTGGTTGTCAAATGCCGCATGACTTAGGTAAAGGTAAGTACTTAATCGTAAATAATGCAGCGACCTGTGCTTTATTTTGCGTTGATTAATCTCACTTGTCTGAGAGGGTTATAGATTTGCTTTTGCACACGCACGCAAAACTGTAATGGGGATAGCTAGCTATACGTCTATGGCTCAGACACCAAGTAGCTAGCTAGCTAGCATGTCGGGCCGACCTGTTCCATTTATACAGTAATAAGTAACGTTTAGTTGCTTATTGACAGTATCTTTAAAAGCGCATGCTGTAAGATGACATTTTTATACATTTCTTCAGCCAGCAAAAATTATATTGGCACTACATTAAGATGAAACTAAATGAAACTGTAAGAAGCTGTGTGTGCAGCACAATAATGTGTAATGTCAGAGTGTTAATTGTCATATGCACAGTGAGGAAACGTGTTTCCCTGTACAATGAAATTCTTACTTTGCCGTCCACATGGCGGTAAATAATGTAGAGAGAATTTGTTCATCTTTGTGATTTATGGCAGTTGGCGTCCTAATGTTGCAGAGAGAATTTGCAGCATCAACAGTCTATAAAAAAAGGGAAACAGCACAACTCTGAGGTAAAAACTATGTTTATTGTTGAAATGGGTGTGTTCTGTTTATGTTAAATAAACCACTATAAATGGGAAATAAGAATATAACAAGAATCCTGCAATGAATACAAGGTATTTATTGATGTTGGTGTATTACTGTATTACCCACAGCATGGCGATACCTATAGCCATCTTGGACTGTGATCTTCTCTTACATGGTAGAGGTCATAAAACCCTGGACCGTTTTGACCTGGACTCAGTCTCAGACACCTTCCTTCTCACACAATTTGGCTTCCCCAGAAACTTTATTCTGTATCTGGTGGAGTTACTCAGAGAGGTGATAATGTCCAGTTTTGAATGTGCACATTCAATAAACCTTCAGAAATCTGCCTGTACTACTATGTTGCATTTCTCTTATGTTATAATTTCTGTGTGTTAGGCTCTCTGTAGACGTACACAGCGGTCCAGAGCAATCAGCCCTGAAGTCCAGGTGTTGGCTGCTTTGGGTTTCTATACATCTGGCTCATTCCAGACATCTATGGGAGATACAATAGGGATCAGCCAGGCTTCCATGTCAAGATGTGTGTCCAACGTGACCAGAGCCCTGGTGGAGAAAGCTCCTCAGTTTATCACATTCAACAGGTACTATACATTGGAAATCAATTAAGCATTCACAAAGAAACAAATATTTTTATGGAGAGACAGCTGTTGAAAGTATGCTTCATTAAAGAGGAAGAGAATGCATAATAACAGCAGCAGTATTGTTTTCCAAACAGAGACCCCTCCAGCAGAGAGCAGTCCTTCCACGAGTTTCAGAGAGTTGCAGGATTCCCAGGAGTTCTGGGGGTGCTGGACTGTGTTCAGGTTTGTAATATCATCTTAATTATACTGTACACTTCAGGTCTGTATGTATGCAGGTGACAGCCTAACTGCTCCCTCTGTTTTCCTTCCTCTCCAGGTTGCCATCAAAGCTCCAAACAGTGAGGACTCCTCGTACGTGAACAAGAAGGGGTTTCACTCTGTGGGCTGTCAGCTGGTTTGTAATGCCCAAGGGCTGTTACTCAGTGCTGAAACCCACTGGCCAGGTGGACTCAAAGATGCTGATGTTCTAGAAAGATCTGCTCTCTGCAAACAGCTGCAGGACACAGAGGAGGGCTGGCTGCTGGGTGAGACACGCATTTTAGAAGTCAAGTCTGAAAAGGTACAGCAGATGTTACAGAGGTCTTTCTGTTTGCTAGGTGACCGTCGTTACCCTCTAAAGAAGTGGCTGATGACCCCAGTCAACTGTCCAGAATCCCCTGCAGAGTTTCAGTATAATGTGGCCCACACTGCTACACATGAGATAGTGGACAGAGCCTTTCGAGCCATTCAGACCAGGTTTAAATGTTTGGATGGAACCAAAGGATACCTACAGGTTTGCTACTCTATTCTATTGGATTCAGTTTGTTTTCTATTGGAATTGAAGCCTCTCTCAGTCAAAAAAAAAAGAAATATTAACGTTGTTGTCATCCATCCTCCTCTGTGTGCAGTATTCTCCAGAGAGGAGTTCGTCCATCCTGCTGGCCTGCTGTGTTCTCCACAATGCCTCCCTGCAGTCTGGATTAGACGCCTGGACTCTGGAGAGGACTGACCCTCCAGAGCAGCCCGAGAGCCTGGAACAGAGACCTGAGGACCGTGACAGCCAGGCAGAGGACCTCAGAAAACAGATCATACTCAAACACTTCAGCTAAACGTGGCTGGACTCCAGAGTCCATGTCAAGGTCAAAGATCAAGACTGGGACCAAATTAATGACTCTAGAGTCACATGTAAAGCAAGAAACTCCACAGACACTGTGTTGCTGATGCAGTTTTTTAATATTTTGCTGGTTTCTACTCTACTGACTACACTAAGATAACATAGTAATATATGGAGGAACATGCAGAACACTTTACAACAAACCGTGACACCATTATATCCAAACACATTTCGAATAGCTAAACTCCCTGGAAAGTGCTGGATTCTGTCTTGACATTCAAACATCCTCCAAATATTCATTAACAGGTTGGAACAGCCAAGCACCTCCTGGTGTTTTACAATTATTCAAACTGTGTGCAGCTACTGTGTCACCAGGTTTCTTTACAAGTGGGAAAAAAAATCCCATTTTTAATCCCTCCCCCACTGTCTTCCCCAAGAATCCATTCATGTTCTCCAATTCCTTTCCATGAGTTCTAATCTTGGACTGTCACAATAAAAAAACAAGGCCCTTTATTTACAACATCTGCACATTAGATCTTTGTTGTTTATGTACACCGGTGCATTAAGACGGTTAAGGGTGAGAATGACAGAGGATGTTTGTGCAATAGGCTGCAGTCACATGGTGTTTGTGTGCATGAGGAACACAAAATGAAACATACAGAGGAATAAAAAAAAATCCTGGTTATTTGTTTTAGAAATGAAAATAGTATCTATTTTTTCTGTATAGTTATTAATTATTTCCCCAAGGACTGGGTCAGTGTCTGTTTCATAACTTCATTTGAAAGAGTACCATGACATCTTTTTGGGAGTGTCACTGTTTTTCCTCACATTGTCACACAAGTGGTAAAGAAATAAGAGGTTTTTTAATGTCGTGGTGTTCCTACAAAGTGTGGAGAGATCAGACTTAGTGGTGTTTTACTTCCTGGAATGTATTAGTCCCCTGATTGGCTTCATCAATATATACACACTCTCTACAAACAGGAATAAATACAACATACACTGCTGTCGCATGAGCATGAGCACATTTAGTATTGATGAGATGACAAGTTGGTTTTTAATAAATCTTAAAAGAAATCTTATGAGTAAAAAAATTTTAAGGTTCAATTGTAAAATCTAATGATACTTTCACTTCACATAGGGAACAAGGACCCTCTGAGGTTTTCATGCGACAGCAGTGAAACAATAAACACTGTATTACAGTTAAAAGACATAAACAGATCATGTTAAAGTTTTACACTCCATCATGTAAACCTCACATCATCCTAAATGACAACTTTTTTTTGCATAAAATAAATATGCTCTTTTTTGATGCTCAGAATATATTATAAGTTGATTTTTTATGTTTTTTCATTGACATTATTTAGAAAAATGAGACAGATAAGTATTTCTTTTTTTGTTGCATAAATTAAATATGCTCTTTTTTGATGCTGCAAATATATTACATATACATTTTTAAATTTCATAAAAATACTTTTACGTCATGTTTCCCAGCCTCTCTCTGGACCCCTTCAATGATCTGTTGATATGAAAATATGGGTTCCTCTCAAAAATGATGATGAAGATTTAGGTCAGAATCTTTATAGGTAAAGCTATCTTTAAGTTTAGAGATGAAAAAAAGACAACACACTGTGTGTACAGTTCTAACTGTAGGTGCATTACACAGCTTTTTTAACTGTTTAAACCAAGACTGCTTTGTGAAAAAGCTGAATCTGCCACAAAGCTTTTACTATTATGCCCCTAATTACTTCTATAAACATGTGACATGTTTCACACAGATACAGCATTGACATTCATCCAGTTTACTGTATGTTTACTTAAAAGAAACTGGTCAAATGACAGAAAGCAGAATCTCACCCAGCCCTGCTACATTTCCAGGTTGAGATGTAAGGTCAAGTTAGTGTGAAGTGAGTGGAAGGCACTTTTTAAATGGCACAGAATGTGTTTGTAGTTCAACATGTTGGTACGTCTAGTTTTATAACGTGTTGGTAGGAACGCAGATTGGGTTGGATTAGTTGATGACAGAAAACTAATCAGTGACAATTCTGATAATTGATTAATACCTTATAAGTCATTAACCAAGTAAAAAAGTCTCTGGTTGTAGCTTCTCAAATCTGATGATTTGCTGCTGTAGGAAACTAACAGACCTTTCTCACTATTTTCTAACATTTTTTGGACTAAGCAATTAATGATTAGTCAAAAGAATAACTGTTAGATTAATCACTAATCACAAAAATGATTAGCTGCAGCTCTCTGATAACATACTGTGTGTTATGTGATTAGTTCTAAATTAAAGCACTGATGTGATAAACTAGAATTCCATAGGGGTCTGTCAATTTTCACCATATATTTATGTGAGTTCTTAAAGGTGTAAGGTTTATCATTTCCTTCAACACTGACACTACATTTCCCATAAAACCCTTTGGTACATGGCAAAATAGGCTGTGGTCACTACCAGTTGTTTCAGATCTGTCATGATATGATAAGACTGCTGACTTCCAGATGATCACAGCCTAGCTGCCTAATCTCTGCCTGTTTTGGCAGCAATGTTTTGACTAGTTTGTGGTAATTTATGTTACAGTCTCTAAGTTACTCTACAGTGTATCTCTGGAATATTATTCATGTATTTTACACTAAATATTCTTCATGGATGTTTATATATGAAGACATTAGTTGGGTATTTAAAATTCCGCAATATTTTAATGCTTAAAAATCGAAATTCCAATGATGGCGTCCCTTTAAAATCAAGTATATTCAGCTGTAGCAGAGTCTGTTAAAGCAGAGAATTGAAGTTACATAGGGCAGCAGCTATGGAGGAGGAGGCTGCAGAGGGTGAGTTACTGAAGAGGACGATGACACCGGCAGCTTTTGGTTCAGTTAGATGATGATATGAAGCCATTAGTGATGTGGAGCTTTGGGTCTTTTGGGGGTTGGAGGTGAGAAGTCGTGTTGAAGAGGGGTGTCAGAAAAACTCTGAGACTCCATCTGGTGTTGTTTCTCTGAGGACAGAGGAGAGGAACTGTGATAATATTGTTTGACATGTAACAGAGAAATTACAGTGTCACTGGAGTGTGTTTCTTACCTTCGGTCTAACTCGGGCCCAGCTGTCTGGTTGCTATGGGCGTCAGCCATGTAGCGACTTGTCTGGATGTGGGAGTGGGCTTCTGACTGTAGCCTCTCCCCTTCTGTTGTCACTAAACTCTCCTCCAGTGGAGCACCTTCGTTGTAGAAGAGCAGGCTGCGAGAACGGACTGGAGCACACAAACACCGACATGAAACAGTTCAGAAACGTAACCCATCAAGGCTCTGACCATCATAAACTGGTTTTACTATACTCTAGGATGAACATATGTGTAGACCCACCCTGACTGGTGGTGTACAGGTCCGCTGATGGAAGAGGAGGAGAGGAGGAGGAGTGAGAGGAGGAGGAGGAGGAGGACAAAGAGGGGGTGTGAGAGATGAAGGAGAGGGAAGAGAGGCAGGGAGAGAAGGAGCCCAACACCAGGACAAAACACACAGCCACCATCTGCACAAAGAGAGGAACAAAACACACAGTAGAAAACAGTCATCACATAAACACAAACAACATGAAACAGACAATTCTACCACTGTTTAGGCAAAATCACTAGGAAAATAAACAGAAAACTAATTACAAAACTACTTTATGGCAAAGATTGCTACATTTGTTTATATGCTGCCTTGAGGTTGAAAAAGCCTTTAATAACAATAATAACAATCCTAATATATACATTAGTGTGCATGTGAGTGACGAGTATTTACCATGAGGCATGTCCCTGTTTGAGTTGAGGCTATTTTACAAGAACGGGGAACAACTTTCCCCGAGATCAATGACTGAAGCTTCTGGAGCTGCTGTAGGAGAGACCTAGAGAAAGAAACCAAAAAACAATCTAGATCAATATAATCTAGTATCTGCTTGTCTGGTAGTTCAGGATGATAATGTCTGTCTTTCTGAACCTGTATTATTATTGGCCAAGTCTGGAATAAGAGCCTTTGTTAGGATTTGAATTTGATGGGATGGGTTTTGTAGAGCCTGAGAGGTTAAACTCAGGGCAGGAAGCTCCCCTGGGCATTTTCCTCTCTCTCTTTTTTTTCACCAAAACTAGGTTCATTGTACCTCCCAATAAACTTTAACAACCTGATTTGCTGTTGTCCAGCTGATTTGCAGAGCTGGACAGAGTACCCCAGCAAAATCACTAAAGCAAAGTATGTAAGTGGGATCTGGAGAGCAGGGTTCTGATGGTATGAACTGCCAGCGGCTGTGAGGAAACACTCTGACCACTAGGTGGAGACAGAGATCCAGTTACTGCTGAACTCGCTGTGCACTAGCCTTTGGTCAGAAAAACATTCAACAAGTTAGAAAGTGAACTAGACAGCTGATCAGATAAACTTAACTGTGAGTGAACTGCTGAGGCGGTCTGTCAGTACATGTAATGGTTCATATGTCCAAGCCAACATGAGTCACATGCACCAAAGTGCAGCAACTTGCCAGCTGCAATAAACTCATATGGGATGACACTCACACAGGACTTTGATGTAAAACCACAGTGATTTATGTCTGAAGTTACGGCTGCTAAAAATATACAATGCTCCTAAAAGTCTTGCTGGTTAACTGGGGTGTTGAATGTGTGTAAAAAATACTTAGCAGAAAAATGGAAAACTTAAATTTATGTATCTGTGATGGATTGGCGACCTGTCCAGGGTGTACCCCGCCTTCGCCCGATTGCTGGCCGGGATTGGCTCCGGCCCCACCCGTGACCCCGCTCAGGGATTAAGCGGTAGAAAATGAATGAATGAATGAAATTTATGTATTAAATCAAGATAAAACTGTGCTTGGAGTTGGTATCAAGTGTTTTTTTTTACTTTTAGAGGAACTAGACTAGCATTTTCCCCTTGCTTCCAGTTTTTGTGCTAAGCTAGGCTAAAGCTCTATCTGTACTAGAAGCACAGATGTGAAATTAATATCAATCTTCTCATCTGACTCTGGCTAAGTCCCTGTTTGAGTGTCCAGTCAGATTAAACTGACACAAAGTGCACACCAAATTATAATGCTACCTGGAGGTGGGGTTGAGACTATTCTTATGCAACTAATAAAGCAGCACTAACCCAGTTCTGCAAGAATAAGCATCTAGTACAGAAAAAACACTACACCGAGACAAAATGACCACTAATAACTGTGTTTGGGCATTTTTAGGAACTACAAACTTAAATTTAGACCCACACATATTCTAGACTTAATGTGAGAGTGAGTGTGCTGACTCATGTTTCCATCTTTTTGCCAGCTCATTGTGTCTCCAGCATATGTGTGTGTGTGTGTGTGTGTGTGTGGTGGCAAGGGAGGGGGCTACCTTTCATGATAAAAGCTAGTGTTAACTCGCTGCTTTAATGACAGACTGAGGCTGCAACAGACAGACAGACTTTATAAAGACAGAACCCCCCTTAACCCCTAACCATCAGTCCCACCACACCCACCCACCCGTCAACCCGCCCTCTCAAGGATAATAGCAGATTGGTTTCATACTGTTATAATAACAGAGGAGCCAAACTGCTTATATACTGTATATTGCAGGCTCTGAAAGTGGTACAGGGCAAAAGTAGTGGTATGCATAACCTGTAGCAGAGCGCGTTTGCCTGTTGAAGCCCACATGACTGCAGCTCAAAATATTCCTGCTTGCAATGCAGATAATGCTACCGTCAGTGTTTCAGACTTGCATTCTCATTGGTACTAATCCGAACATCACTGCAAGATGTTGGTGCTGAGTGTGTGTGTGTGTGTGTGTGTGTGTGCAAAGCTCACCTGTTGGCAGTCTCCAGGTTTTCTACTTTTCTCCACAGGTCGCTGTTTTCTGATGTGTAGCTCTCCACCCTGACACACACAGACGTTTGTCATCATCTTAACTCTGCTGCTCGGATCAGAAATATTATCACTCATTCACATTGAGTACCCAATTTCATGCCAGATGTTTTAAGCTAACGATGATCGAAAGTTAATTTAGGTGACTCCACTGAAATTGGTGACTGGAGGTGTTACTGTGAAATTCTGTACTTGGCTTCCTAATGATGATTGAGATGTTTCCTGTAGCACCACCAGCAGGTTGACATTTTAATTTGTCCAATGCTTTGCTTCGACATTAATGACACTTCAGGCAGCCTCTGCGGTACTTTGCATGAATTTAGGGATTTACACTGAATGTTTAGATCAAATTCTGACTTTGTGAACAAAAATACACAGATGAAAGAGAAAAAAGAAGACATGGAGGATGTGAGACTGCCTTCCTCTCATCCATTTTCCTTTATTCTCTCCGTCATCTCCTGCTAATCCTGTTGATGTCTCTTATCTGTTTAACATCTAGCAAATCTCTACTCCTCCTAATCCTCCTAATCCGCTCCTATGTTTGCTTTGAATACAGCTCATTCAGACACATTTCAGCATGTTGTCCTGCTGTTCTTTCCTCAGAAAGTCACTCAATAATCCTGTCCTTTGTCCAAGAAAAAAACCCCCAATGAGAATGTAAAGGGGAGGATTTCAAACCCTGCTTCTTACCTCTCTATTCTGTGATTCAGTTAGAAGAGGCTGCACAATGCAAGAACAAGGCAACATTTTTGTCTCTTTCACTTTCCCTGAATCTGACCCATGTGTTCAGCAGGTTATTGGAGTCCTGCTGCAGCGAGGGACGGCCAGAATGACAGAGGAAGGAGAGAAAGCAGTTTCTGGTCATTTCTGGATGCTCTTTAATGAACTAGATGACGTACAGAGCATGAAACACAGCCTGTAACCTAAACCTAAAGACCTGTTGTTCTGCCTCCAGTTTAATCCCCTACACAACGCCTGCATCTGTTAACACACTCAGCTCCAAACCAGTATAACCTTTAAATACAAAAACTGCCTCCCAACAAAGCGTCAACTGCCAAGTTCACTCCAGCATTACACAACTTCATCTTTTCTCTCTCATGCCAGCTGCATTTCTCATTTTTGTCTGTGCATAAACAGCACACAATTATGTATAAAAATGGCTACAGTTAAATTCAACTCAGGGAAAACCTCAGTGGTCAACATGGCTGCCTAAATGCACTGTGAGACAGTTCGGAGAAGAACAAGTTGTTTATTCTTGCACATTGCTATTGTGTGTAACTGGCTGTTCATTTCCATCACTTGGACTGGCATGAGCCTGTGTCAGACTTATTTCATGATTTGGTTCTGATTCAATTAGAAAGAGCTTTTAAATGTAGACACAGCCAAATGAACCACAAATGTTCCTCTTGAGTTTGGCTGGTGCCAGTATGTTTAGTCGCTGTAGTTTATTTTGAGTCTTACACCACCCTGCTGCTAGAGGATTAAATGTGGATCAATCTACATCTTAAAATAGACCGTAATAAATACACTGTTTACTTCTGCTTGTGTTACATTTACTATAACTTCGGCACTCAGCTGTTTTAGGAAGTTATTGTGCTTTTTTTTTTTTTTACAAAACTATAATGTTGTATGTCTTTAGTAGGACCCAGTAGGCTCGAGGTTGAGCGCCACAGAAAGGGAAAGGAATTCAGACTGACACCCAGTGCAACCTTAGTTGTTTCGAGTACACTGAAGCCTTAAAGCTTGATTTATGGTTCTGTATTGAATCTATGCAGAGCTTATGCCGTAGACTACGTAACTGGCCTACGCTGTTGTGAGCATTTATACTTGTATGCTGGTGTGGCTGTGTTGCCCTGCAAGTACACCTCCACAACACTATTTGGCGGTGGGGTTTCTATGCCTCTGTGTTGTGTTTCCTTGCCACTACTA